TCCACGATGGCTGCTGCCGACTGGTTGGCAAGGGGCCAGGCCATGGGCCAGCGCGTAAAATACTCGACTCCTGTCAGCAAATACCTATTGCCCCTGGGGGTGGCGGGAAATGGGCCCAAGATGTCCAGCGCGACAAGCTCATTTATTCTGGACACCTTGATTGATTGTAAAGGCGGGTTAGACTCCCGTGCCGGCGGCTTCCGTTGCGCACACCGCGGGCATGAACTCAAAAGATCCCCAACATCCTTTGTCATACCAGGCCAAAAAAAATCAAGTTGTATCAGTGCAAGGGTCTTTAGAGTCCCCAGATGTAACAGGCGCTCATGCGCGGCCCACACCACTTTGCCTCGCAACTCAGAAGGGACGACCAGCCGATGTCGCTGTGATTTGCCGTCCCAATGCATGAGCAGACCCTGTACCATTTCCCATGCACCCGAATCACCTTTCACCCGCCCAGCACCCCCGACGCGACGACGCCACCCGAGGAGGGAGGTATCCTCCATTTGGAGGCGCCCCCACTCAGTGACGGGCAACCCCAACAGGGAATCCCTTCCCTGTTGTTCGATCGAATTATCAGGCAGTGGTTCGTCGTCGTCGGTGGCTGCCAGGATCGGAACCGATGCGTCCCCTGAAGGTCTGCAACGTCCCGACCCCAGGAGGCATGCACATTCCGAGGTGGTTGGCATGCGTGACAGAGCGTCCGCGTTGGTATGGCGAACGCCCTTACGGTAAGTGGTCTCAAAATCAAAATCCTGGAGAACCTCCAACCATCGAGACAACTGTCCCGATGGTTGTTGAACTCGCAGGGCATACTGTAGTGCCGCATGATCTGTGCGGACGGTGAAATGCCGACCGTACAGATATGGGCGATACTGTTGGATAAAAAAAACAATTGCCAACAGTTCTCTACGGGTGACACAATATTTCTGCTCCGCAGGAGACAACACCCGACTACCGTACGCGACCACCCGTTCAACGCCATCAACCACCTGGGAAAGCACACCCCCAATACCCGTGTTGCTCGCATCGGTGTCGAGCAAAAAGGGCTTCGAAAAATCAGGGTAAATCAAGGGAGGGGCTTTCACCAGGGCGTCCCGAAGGGAGCGGAACGCAGCCTCCTCCTCTTGACCCCAGTGGAACCGAACCCCTTTAGATGTTAAAGCGTGCAGGGGTTTAGCAATTGTTGCAAAATCAGCAACAAACCGTCAATAATACGACGCGAACCCAATGAAACTCCTGACCTCTCCCACCGAGGTGGGAGTCGGCCAGGAGCTGACACACTGCGTTTTGGCGGGATCGGTAGCAATACCTGAGCGTCCCACGATGTGCCCCAAATAACGCACCGAATCACGCAACAAATGGCATTTTTGGGGCTTGAATTTCAAATTAGCAGCCCGCATCTTTAGGAAAACCGCCCGCAACCTCTGGAGATGTTCATCAAAAGTTTTACCAAAGACGATAACGTCATCCAAATAAATGAGGCACGACTCCCATTGCAGTCCAGCCAAAACCAATTCCATTAAACGCTGGAAAGTTGCCGGCGCTGAGTGTAAGCCCATCGGCAACCGGTTGAATTGAAACAAGCCGTGCGGTGTACGAAAAGCAGTTTTAGGCTTTGACTCATCATCCAGAGGAAGCTGCCAGAATCCCGAAAGTAAATCGAGTGTGGAAAAGAATCGCGCTCCCGCCAAGGCGTCAAGCGATTCATCCATCCGAGGGAGCGGGTATGCGTCGGCAACCGAAATTTTATTAAGACGCCGGAAGTCAACGCAAAACCGCAACGAACCGTCCTGCTTTTTAACCAGGACGATCGGCGCTCCCCAAGGGCTGGTGGAAGGAGAAATGATGTCTGCGGCCAACATGTCATCAACAGCCGATTTGACATGGTCCTTTTCGGCGGGACTCAACCGAAACGGATTTTGGCGAATTGGCGCGCTGTCACCCATGTCAATATGGTGACGCAGCAAGTGAGTGCAACCCAAATCATATTTATTTCGACTAAAAACGTCGGAAAATTCTCGCAGTAGTGTTTTAAGTTGTTGACGCTCTGAATCGGACAGGTCCGTCGATCCCGCACAAAGCGCCTCGAGCCACCCTTCATCGCTGTCCGAATGCGGTCACGACGCAGGGACAGTGTTTACGCGATTTACGGCGGGTTCCTCACACGGCACCGGCGTTGCGTGAGCAAGCACGGTCCCCTGTGGGACCACCACCGTCCGCGAGCCCACATTTAGGACCGCGATGAAGGGTTCACCATCCCCCCTCACTATGGTCTGGGCCGGAAGTAAGTCAGGTCCACTAACCCCGGCCCTAGACGGTCCCAACAGTACTCCTTGTGCCCCAGCACCCTTAACGAGGGGCCGCCGAAGTTTCAAGGGTACCAACATTTGCGTCCCCGGAGGGACGCGTACCGTTCTCTCCACGAACGCCGGCACCGTCGCGAACGCCGTCCGAGTCGCAACCGGTGATGGCAGAAACGCCATGCGTCTGCCCGATGGAAGCTCTATGCAACCCTGGTCGATCAAAATTACGATCGGCATTTTGGCCAGGAAGTCCGTCCCCAGCAGGCACGGAACCGCCAGCGAGGAAGAAACAAAAATCGACCCAGACAATTTTATTTCCCCGATACAAATTTGGGCACGAATTTGTCCGATGATGCCAAGTGAGCCCCCGTTAGCCGCATAGAATGGTATGTTAACTGGCATCAAGGGACGACTCCGGACAGGGAGAATATTATAAATTAATTCCGAAATAATAGTCGCCGATGCTCCCGTATCGACCAGGATGCGCACTTCAACCCCGTCGATATACCCCACAACGGCCGACGACCCCGACGATGCGGCAACCACACGATCGGCCAGCACGGACCACTGGCCGGGTTCGATATGGGTACCCGGAGTGGTGCGTGATGGTGCGATGGTGTGTGATACCGGCCCCCCTCTCGTCGCGGTGTTTGAGTGCGTGACGGGTGTGTGTGTGGGCCAAACGTGTGGGGTGCCGCGACTCGCCGGTTTTTGATGGTGGAGCTTGGGATGAGGCCCGTCGTCCCGGTGAGGTGTCGTCCCGCGCTGACGAGGAGAGCGGCACCCCGAGGCGACGTGGCCCCGGACGCCGCAGTTAAAACAGCGTGGGAGCGGCGTCGGAGGTGACGAATGGTCGGAACGGCCCGACCCGTCCTGGCCCGGCCGTGCACTCGTCGCCTGTTGCCGTCGGTGGTCGACGGCGTAGAGTTCCTCCGTCGGAAGGGTGGCTGCAGCCACCGCACGCCCCGCCGATGCCCTGCTGGCTTTCCGCCGGAGCGACAGGAGGTTTGCGTGGAGGAGCCGCGCCGCCTGGAGCGATGTCATTTCCGCGTCCTCCTGTGCGACGACAGCGATGTCAAGGTCGTCAGCCAGGAGGAGTATTTTCTCCGTCACCATAGCGTCGATGCCGTCGTCATCCATACGGGGGAAGGCCGACTTGGCCATCGCCAGGAGGCTCGTTCGGTACGCCAGGGGCGACTCCTTTTCACCCCGCTTGCGGTCGTAGAACTCCTGTCTGCATTCCGCCGATGGTCCGTAGACCCCTCCCAGCAGCTGCAGCGCCATCGGTAACGTCGCCCGCCTCTCTTTAGGTGCCGATGTGAGGGCTGCGAGCGCGTCGCTGTCGAGGAGCGCCGGCAGCGCGCAGAGAGCCTCCTCGTCTGTCCACCTCGCCATCTCTTGATGGGCGAGGAATCGCCTGCGGAACCCGGCCCAGTCCCCCTCCGCGCCGACGAACTCTTTCAGCGGGGGCAGCCTCTGATGGAGTGCAGCGGTCGTTGTTGATTCCCGCGGGCGGATGTCACCTCCACTTGGCTGTGCGTCGGTACGAGCGGCCGATGGAATCGCCTGTCGCGGTGGTGATGACGTCGTGGCTTCAGCGACGGCGATGCCGGAGTGGATGTTTAGGCTGGCCACGCCCCGAACAGCTGCAGCGTCGATGGCGGGAGATTCAAACTCGGGCTGCTCCGAAATGGCGGGAAGGCGCCCTGGTCGTTGGGCCGTCTCGCCCCGTGCTGAATCACCGGCCCCCAGCCGCGTGATGGACTCCAGCGTGGCGGCAGCGGCGTATAACAGCTCCGCCAGCCTCCCGTGAGCCAGCCGCAATGCGTCTGACTGTGATCCTCCTTCACTCGGATGCCCCGGTAAGGAGACATCAGGCTCCGGCTGCACTGTGGCTTGTGTAGCCGTCCCGGGCGTTTCGATCTCGGCAGTATCTTCTTCTTGCGGTACTTTGGCCCGCGTTGTCTTCCGCGTGTCCATGTTCGAGTTTTACTTCTGACACCAGTTGAAGTACCGGTGAAGACACTTGACGCCGAGGTGGAGGCACACGGATATTTATTTAACACAACTTGTATGTGACATACAACACTGGAGGGGGTATCGGCCCCCTCACCCGACTAGCTAAGAATACAACTCCTAGCTAAGTCCTAGCCTACCTCACAGTCCTCCACTACTGGGCTAGGGGAGGCTACTTGGCCCGACACTGGTAAGTCGGGCCGGTACCCGGAGTCCCAGACCAGCTCTTAGAAGAGCACCGGCTCTGGCTTTCGGGACCACGCCGCTGGCTCGGTCCTGTTCGGCCCTGACAAGGACATCGAACGAGGGAGTCCAGGGCTCTATCTCAGACGTCTTCGGTCTTCTTAGTTAACTATAACATAACTGCCTCCCGAGCCCATATAACGTCCCCTTTTATACCCAACCCTCCTTGAGGGGTGGGGCCCCGGGGGATCATAACGCCAAACCAGCCCCCCCCAGGGTGTCTGGCTCGGACGTCGCAGAGGGCATCTCCCTGTGCACACACGTAGCCCCGCCCACTGTGTTTCTTTCCCATAGACTGCCATACATAACGGCCCTCTCTCTAACATCCCTACAGTAGTATATAATGTAGTGTGTAGTAGTATATAGTAGTATAGTGTATAGTGTGTGTATATATATTAGTATGTAGACCCAACCTCTTTGTGCATCTCCCCCACACAGAGAAGGAGAAAAACTCGACCCACTGGTGGAATTTGGCCGCCATGGTAGCCGCAGGTAAACGATGACGTCACCATGCCACCACGTGATCGCTTGTCTGGTGACGCTGTGTGATGGTGTGTGATGCTGTGTGTGATGCTGGTTCTGTGTGTGAAGCTGTGTGATGGCGATGCTGTGTGTGATGGTGTGTGATGTTGTGTGTTATGCTGATGTGGGGAGCAGTAGAGTAGCGGTTAGTGCAATGCTGCGCGACGAACCTAGCTATACGGGGGATCTTTGTCTTTGGATGTTGTGTGATGCTTTGTGTGATGCTGTGTGATGGTGATGATGTGTGATGGTGATGCGGTGTGTGATGGTGTGTGATATTGTGTGTTATGCTGCTGTGGGGAGCAGTAGAGTAGCGGTTAGTGCAACGCTGCGCGACGAACCTAGCTGTACGGGGGATCTGTGTCTTTGGATGCTGTGTGATGCTGTGTGATGTTGATGCTCTGTGTTGATGCTGTGTTGATGCTGTATGTGATGCTGTGTGTGATACTGTGTGAGACCAGCAAAACAACCCCCGAATTCCCCGTTGGTGGACGATGGCAACGGTGTGGTGAGCAGTGCCGTGGGGGGAGGGCCAATTTGGATTGGCCATTCCCCTCATGGCGTTTGTAGCCACCATAGCGGCCAAATGGGGGCTCTGGACGGGTGCAAGGGGCTGGTAACCCCTCCACCATTAAATAATTTACCACGATACCACGGAATACAAATCGAATTAAGCTTGTGCCGGAGGCCCCAGGCGGACTGTTGTCTATGACGTCTCCTGGCCAAACCCCATTTGGCGGAGCCAGGAGACTTAATCCTTACCCTCGGGGTTCTTACAGAAATAAGAAAACACCACTGTGTGGCCAAATGGAATGTTCGAACGCTCACTGCGGAGGAGAGGCTGCCACTCCTATGTCGGGAGCTGGACTGGTACCGCCTGGATCTCTGTGGTATTCAGGAGGGTCCGGTGGACCGGTTCTGGCTCCTGCCACCATGAGGGGTGGACAGTCCTCTACTCGGGGCAGAAGACTGCCAAACAACAGGGAGTGGCTCTTCTTCTGAACAAGCATGGCAGTGAGGTGGGGGAAGCTATAAGCCCCAGGCTACTGTGGGCTCGCCTTTCTATCAACCGGAGGCGAGGAGTGGTGGTTGTGGTTGCTTATGTCCCCACCGAAGACGAACATCCGTGGAGTGATGCAGGCAAAGTCGATCAGTCAGATGTCCTTCTATAACCTCCTGTCACAGGTGCTGGCTAAAGTGGCCCCTCGGGACAGAGTCATCCTGTTGGGAGACTTTAATGCCCGAGTTGGTTATGATGTTGGCACCTGGTCTGGAGTGATTGGAAGGCATGGGCCTGATAAGCTCAATAACAACGCTAGGAGACTGCTAGATTTTTGTGCAGCCCATTAAATTGTAATTACCAACACGCTGTTCTGGCATCGGCACATCCACACATCATCATGGACGCATGCCGGATCCAAGCAAGAACATCTGCTGGACTACATAGTGACAGAATAGCGGATGCGGGCCCATGTCCTTGACATCAGAACCTACTGTGGAGCTGATCTGCTCACTGACCATCGACTTGTCTTCAGTAAGATGTGCCTGCCATTCTTCCACTCTGGTGGTGGGTGTACACCCAGGACCCCATTCAAGCCCATAGTGGCCTGGTCTCAGCTAGCTGATGAAAGTTGCAAGCAAGAATTTCATCATCGCTTGTGGCTGGGGTTGGTATCGTCTCCCACTCCTCCTGATGTCGAGGGGAAATGGGCAAGGTTTAGGACTGTGGCTCATGCAGCTGCAATGTCTGCTTTGGGTACATAGTCCAGACCTCCCCAGAGACCCTGGCTGACAGAGGAAGTGTTCAGGCTGGCTGAGAAAAAGCAACAAGTGCACTCTCATCGTCTACAGCATCCCATGTCAGAGAATGAGGAGGCTTACCGCAGCCTTCGCTCGGAGGTTCGGAGAGCCGTGAGGCGCTGCAAGGATGGGTGGTGGTCGCGGAGTTGCTGAGGAGATGGAATCTTCCTTCGTGGCCGGCGATCACAAATCGCTCTTTAATTCCATAAAAAAGTAACTTACAGCGCCACACCTATTACCATAATTAGGGGAAAGAATGGTGATTCAATCTCCGACCCCCAGGAACAGGTTTGCATATTTGTTGAGCATTTCAGTGAGGTCCTGGGGGAGAGGAAATTCCTCAGTTTGAAAAACATCATGGGGATAAGTGAGGATTACCTTGCTGAGGCTGTGGTGCTTCAAATATTGGAGGAAGAAGTCACTCCCTGTGAGTGGCTGGCTGAGGTGCCATCTGTTGAGGAAGTACTGAAGGCGATCCAGAGTCTGAGACCGGGCAGAGATGTTCTCCCAAGCAAAATTCTGGGGGAAGGTGGCGATTGTGCATAGACTGCCCTACATGACATCATAACAACAGTCTGGACCACGGGATTGGAAGGTTACCCTGGTGCTCCCCCTCTTCAAAAAAGGGGACCACACAGACTGTAACAACTACAGGGGCATCTCACTCCTCAGTGTGCCGTGAAAGGTCCCGTCAAGGAGTATTCAACATCGCCTTGCTAGGCACGCTGAGTAAAGGCTTGTAGAGCCCCAGTGCGGTTTGAGGAAAGGGCGGTCCTGCACAGATGCCATATTTTCTGTCCGTCTGTACATCTTTGCTTTATTGACCTGGTCACGGCCTATGATGCCATCAATAGGCCTGGGCTCTGGGTTGTTCTTTGTGCTTTTGGAGTCCCTGACTCTCTGCTTACGATTGTTACTGAACTTCATGATGGTGAGCGGGCCCGGGTAAAACTACGTGACCGGGAGTCGGAGCTATTCTCTGTTCACCTTGGGGTGAGACAGGGATGTCTTCTGGCTTTCACATTATTTAACATCTATTTCGATCATATAGTTCGTAAAGCTTTCGCTTGCTGTAATGGAGGGATTTCCATCTGGTACAAATACAACGTGTGGCTGATCGATGCCCGGGTGCAGTAAAGGGATGGCTCCCTATTGCTCAAACATGTTGCATATGCTGTCGATCTGGTAATTGCTGCTCACTCAGATTAGGAGTTGGAGGCACTGCTGCTGAGACTGGAGCGTGCCACTAAGAGGTGGGGCCTTTTCATCAGCCCCACCAAAACTAAGCACCTGCCTGGGTATTTTGTACCATCGGACACTTAACCCCCATAACTCCCAATTGGTGATGGGGCAGTTGTAGAGAGAGTGAAGAGCTTCCCATACCTTGGCAGTGTGCTCGTGACTGGCTCCGGTTTGATAGCAGAGGTCTCACTCCGAATCAGTCGAGCGGCATTATCTTTTCATCGGTTGCGTAACACTGTGTGGAAGCTACCTGGTCTGTCGCTCCACACGAAGTTTCAGGTCTTCTTGACCACCGTCATGCCCTTCCCTTTCTACGCTTGCAAAATATGGACCACACTCATGGAAAATTTTCGCCGATGAGAAACATTTAGGTTGGCTTGTCTATGATCCATCCTGGGTGTAACCAGGCCGGGTTGTGTGGGGAGCTCACAAATTCTTGAAAGATCTGGACCAAGTCCCATCAGGAAGCTCCTCCGGTAGGCAAGGCTGCGTTGGCTGGGTCATGTAGCCCGCTTGCCCAGCCACCGTATGCCTACACAGCTTTTGTTCGGCCGGATTGAGGGGGCTAAACGGGCGTGGCATGGGCTGGAGAAGAAATGGAGTGATGTGGTACAGGAGGACGTGGAGCTGAGTGGACTTGCCGATGACTGGTACCAGCGGTGTCAACATCGGCCTCTGTGGGTGGCTGATCGAGGCCTCAGTGCGGTCAAGGGAGTGTCCAATGGTACAAAATACCCAGGCAACCGCCATTCACCACGACGTAGCGGAGGAGCGACGCTCACAACAACGAGTGGAGCGCCGGGTGGCTAAAACACAGCAAGTTGGCACAGTAGGGGGCACAGGTGGTGCATCAGCCTGTCATCTCGGTCATCTCAGTCAGTCGACCCATGGCACCTGCTGGGTCTGCCTCGTGACCTCCTGCCAGCGGGCGTTCGACACTTCACGTGGCCTCAAGGTGCACCTAGCCTGGCACAAGCACCGTGGTGACATCAACCGCTACTTCGTGGTGAATGGCGGTTGTTGTCTTTGTGGTTGATGCTGGGTGATGGTGATGTTGTGTGTGATGCTGTGCGTGATGGTGATGCTGTGGGTGATGGTGATGCTGTAAGTGATTGTTGTTGTTACGGTTGTTGTTGTTGTTGTGAGCCAGTGGCCACAGTGGCTCTGGCCCCAGTGGTAGTCGGTGTGTTGGGGCTTTCCGCTGGAGGGATCACCGCCGGTTCCATCGCCTCCTCCCTAGTCATGATCATCATCACTGTTGTTGTTGTCGTCATCATCAATGTTGTTGTTGTCGTCATCATCATCACTGTTGTTGTTGTCGTCATCATCATCATCATCACTGTTGTTGTTGTTGTCGTCATCGTCATCATCACTGTTGTTGTTGTCGTCATCATCATCATCATCACTGTTGTTGTTGTTGTCGTCATCATCATCATCACTGTTGTTGTCGTCATCATCGTCATCATCACTGTTGTTGTGGTTGTCGTCATCATCATCATCACTGTTGTTGTTGTTGTCGTCATCATCATCATCACTGTTGTTGTCGTCATCATCATCATCACTGTTGTTGTTGTTGTCGTCATCATCATCATCATCACTGTTGTTGTCGTCATCATCATCATCACTGTTGTTGTTGTTGTCATCATCATCATCACTGTTGTTGTTGTTGTCGTCATCATCATCACTGTTGTTGTTGTCTTCATCATCATCACTGTTGTTGTCGTCATCATCATCACTGTTGTTGTTGTTGTTGTCGTCATCACTGTTGTTGTCTTCATCATCACTGTTGTTGTTGTCTTCATCATCACTGTTGTTGTTGTCTTCATCATCACTGTTGTTGTTGTTGTCATCATCATCACTGTTGTTGTTGTCTTCATCATCACTGTTGTTGTTGTCTTCATCATCACTGTTGTTGTTGTTGTTGTCATCATCATCACTGTTGTTGTTGTTGTCATCATCATCACTGTTGTTGTTGTCTTCATCATCATCACTGTTGTTGTTGTCTTCATCATCATCACTGTTGTTGTCGTCATCATCATCACTGTTGTTGTTGTCGTCATCACTGTTGTTGTCTTCATCATCACTGTTGTTGTTGTCTTCATCATCACTGTTGTTGTTGTTGTCATCATCATCACTGTTGTTGTTGTTGTCATCATCATCACTGTTGTTGTTGTTGTCATCATCATCACTGTTGTTGTTGTCTTCATCATCATCACTGTTGTTGTTGTCTTCATCATCATCACTGTTGTTGTTGTTGTTGTCGTCATCATCACTGTTGTTGTCGTCATCATCATCACTGTTGTTGTCGTCATCATCATCACTGTTGTTGTTGTCGTCATCACTGTTGTTGTTGTTGTTGTCGTCATCATCATCACTGTTGTTGTCGTCATCATCACTGTTGTTGTCATCATCATCACTGTTGTTGTCGTCATCATCATCACTGTTGTTGTCGTCATCATCACTGTTGTTGTCGTCATCATCACTGTTGTTGTTGTTGTTGTCGTCATCATCATCACTGTTGTTGTCGTCGTCATCACTGTTGTTGTCGTCATCATCACTGTTGTTGTTGTTGTCTTCATCATCATCACTGTTGTTGTCGTCATCATCACTGTTGTTGTCGTCATCATCACTGTTGTTGTTGTTGTTGTCGTCATCATCACTGTTGTTGTCGTCATCATCACTGTTGTTGTCGTCGTCATCATCACTGTTGTTGTCGTCATCATCACTGTTGTTGTCGTCGTCATCATCACTGTTGTTGTTGTTGTTGTCGTCATCATCATCACTGTTGTTGTTGTCGTCATCATCACTGTTGTTGTCGTCATCATCATCACTGTTGTTGTTGTTGTTGTCGTCATCATCATCACTGTTGTTGTTGTCGTCATCATCACTGTTGTTGTCGTCATCATCATCACTGTTGTTGTTGTCGTCATCATCATCATCACTGTTGTTGTTGTTGTCGTCATCATCATCACTGTTGTTGTTGTTGTCGTCATCATCATCATCACTGTTGTTGTTGTCGTCATCATCATCATCATCACTGTTGTTGTTGTCGTCGTCATCACTGTTGTTGTTGTCTTCATCATCACTGTTGTTGTTGTCTTCATCATCACTGTTGTTGTTGTTGTCGTCATCATCACTGTTGTTGTTGTCTTTATCATCACTGTTGTTGTCTTCATCATCACTGTTGTTGTTGTCGTCATCATCATCACTGTTGTTGTTGTTGTCGTCATCACTGTTGTTGTTGTCTTCATCATCACTGTTGTTGTTGTCTTCATCATCACTGTTGTTGTTGTCGTCATCATCATCACTGTTGTTGTTGTCATCATCATCACTGTTGTTGTCTTTATCATCACTGTTGTTGTTGTCTTCATCATCACTGTTGTTGTTGTTGTCGTCATCATCACTGTTGTTGTTGTCGTCATCATCATCACTGTTGTTGTTGTCTTCATCATCACTGTTGTTGTTGTCGTCATCATCATCACTGTTGTTGTTGTCGTCATCATCACTGTTGTTGTTGTCGTCACCATCACTTGTTGTCATCATCACTGTTGTTGTTGTCGTCATCATCATCACTGTTGTTGTTGTCGTCATCATCATCATCACTGTTGTTGTTGTTGTCGTTGTCGTCATCATCATCACTGTTGTTGTTGTCGTCATCATCATCACTGTTGTTGTTGTCGTCATCATCACTGTTGTTGTTGTCGTCATCATCATCACTGTTGTTGTTGTCGTCATCATCACTGTTGTTGTTGTTGTCTTCATCATCATCACTGTTGTTGTTGTCGTCATCATCACTGTTGTTGTTGTTGTCGTTGTCATCATCATCATCACTGTTGTTGTTGTCGTCATCATCATCACTGTTGTTGTTGTCGTCATCATCACTGTTGTTGTTGTCGTCATCATCATCACTGTTGTTGTTGTCGTCATCATCACTGTTGTTGTTGTTGTCTTCATCATCATCACTGTTGTTGTCGTCATCATCATCACTGTTGTTGTTGTCGTCATCATCACTGTTGTTGTTGTTGTCGTCATCATCATCACTGTTGTTGTTGTCGTCATCATCACTGTTGTTGTTGTTGTCGTCATCACTGTTGTTGTTGTCGTCATCATCACTGTTGTTGTTTTCGTCATCATCACTGTTGTTGTTGTCGTCATCATCACTGTTGTTGTTGTCTTCATCATCATCACTGTTGTTGTTGTCGTCATCATCACTGCTGTTGTGGTCGTTGTTGTCATTGTTGGCGTCGTCATTATTGTTATTTTGGTCGTCGTTGTTGTCTTGATTGTCGTCATTGTTGTCGTCGTAATCATTGTCGTCATCGTCATTGTTATCAGGTTGTTGTTGTCATTGCTGTCGTCATTGTCGTCATCATTGTTGTCATGGTTATCATTGTTGTCATCGTCATCAATGTCGTCATTGTTTTCATTGTTTTTTAATGGTCATTGTCATCATCATCATGATTGTTATTTTCATCACGATTATTGTTGTGGTTTTATCATTATTGTTGTTTTAATGATTGTTGTTGTTGCCGTGGTTCTTGTTGTGAGCCAGTGGCCATAGTGGTTCAGATATTAGTGTTAGTACAAGCCGCGTTCTTCTCCGCTGGAGTGAACACCACCGGCTGCGTCGCCTCCCCCACTACGCCCTCGGCCACGCTGAAGTCCGTCGATACGGAGTGGGTCACTCACTCACTGTGTCACTCACTCACTGTGTCACTCACTGTGTCACTCACTCACTGGGTCACTCACTCACTGTGTCACTCACTGGGTCACTCACTCACTGGGTCACTCACTCACTGTGTCACTCACTCACTGGGTCACTCACTCACTGTGTCACTCACTGGGTCACTCACTCACTGGGTCACTCACTCACTGTGTCACTCACTGGGTCACTCACTCACTGTGTCACTCACTCACGGTGTCACTCACTGTGTAACTCACTCACTGGGTCACTCACTCACTGTGTCACTCACTCACTGTGTCACTCACTGTGTAACTTACTCACTGGGTCACTCACTCACTGTGTCACTCACTGTCACTCACTCACTGTGCCACTCACTGTGTCACTCACTGTGTCACTCACTCACTGTGTCACTCACTCACTGTGTCACTCACTCAATGGGTCACTCACTTGGTCACCCACTCACTGGGTCACTCCCTCACTGGGACACACAACAACCGCCATTCACTACTAAGTGGCAGTGACGTGACCACGGCACTTGTGCCAGGCCATGTGCACGTTGAGGCCGCGTGAAGTGTCGAACGCCCTCCGGCAGGAGGTCATGGGGAAGACCCAGCAGGTGCCACAGGTCGACTGACTGAGATGACTGGCTGATGCACCACCTGTGCCTCCTACTGTGCCAGCTTATTGTGTTGTCGTGCCCCAGAGCTCCGCTCGTTGTTGTGAGCGTCGCTCCTCTACCTTTCGTTGTTGTTGGAGGGCAACTGCCTCCAACTGCCCAGTAGCGTCATTCACGAGCCTCCTCCACAGAGGCCGATCTTGACACTGCAGGTACCAGTCATCAGCAAGTCCACTCAGCTCCACATCCTCCTGTACAACATCACTCCATCTCTTCTCTAGCCCGTGCCGTGCCCATTTAGCCCCCTCGATCCGGCTGACCAAAAGCTGTTTGGGCATGCGGTGGCTGGGCATGTGGGCTACATGACCCAACCAACGCAGCCTTGCCTGCCGGAGGAGCTCACCGATGGGTCTTTGTCCAGATCTTTCAAGGATTTGTGAGTTCATCACACAATCCAGCCTGCAGGTTAAACCCAGAATGGATCGTAGGCAGGCCAGCCTAAATGTTTCTAAACGGCGAAAATGTTCCATTTAGGGGGGGTCCACGTTTTGCAAGCGGAGAGAAGGGAGGGCATGACCGTGGCCAAGATGACCTGAAGCTTCGTGTCGAGCGACAGACCAGGTATCTTCCACACAGCGTTACGCAGCCAAAAAAAGGATAATGCCGCTAGGCTGATTCAGAGTGAGACATCTGCTGTCACACCGGAGCCGGTCCTGAGCACACTGCCCAGATATGGGAAACTCTCCACTCTCTCCACAACTGCCCCATCACCAATTGACAGTTGTGGGGGTGGAGTGTCCGATGGTGCAAAATACCCAGACAGGTTCTTAGTTTGGTGGGGCTGATGGTAAAGCCCCACCTCTTAGTGGCAAGTTCCAGGTTCAGCAGCAGTGCCTCCAACTCCTAATCTGAGTGAGCAGCAATCACCAGATCATCGGCATACGTATCATGGTTGAGCAATAGGAGCCATCCCTTTACCGCACCCGGGTATCGATCAGCCTCCCATTGTATCTGTAACAGGTGGAAAATCCTCTAATACAGCCATCGACGGCTTCACGAAACTACGTGGTCGAAATAGATGTAAAGTAATGTGGGATCCAGAAGAAATCCCTGTCGCACCCCAATGTGAACAGGGAATGGCTCCGACTCCCAGCCAAATAGCTTTACCCGCGCCTGCTCACCATCATGAAAGTCCTTAATGATCGTGAGCAAAGAGTTAGGGACTCCGAAAGCACGAAAAACAACCCAGAGCCCAGGCCTACTGACGGTATCATAGGCCTTGACCAGGTCAATAAAGCAGAGATGTAGTTGTTGTTGGAATTCCCTACATCTCTGCAGGACCGCCCTTTCCTGAAACCGCATTGGGGCTCCACAAGCCTCTCCTCAGCGTGCCTAACTAGGCAGTGTTGGATAATCCTTGCCAGGACCTTTCCCGGCACACTGAGGAGTGAGATGCCCCTGTAGTTGTTACAGTCTGTGCGGCCCCCAGGGCATCCTTCCAATCCTGCGGAACCCGTCCAGTGGTTCAGACTGTTGTTATGATGTCATGTAGAGCAGTCTATGCACAATCGCCACCCTCCCTCAGCACTGGGTCACTCACTCATTGGGACACACAATGGGTCACTCACTGTGTGCGTGTGTTTGTACGCACTACGTGGTGTGTGCGGTGTGTGCGTGGTGTATGTGGTGTACTAACTATTTGGCGTGTGCGGTGTGTGCAGGTGTGTGGTGTGTTTGTCCGACATTGAAACGAGGCAGAGTCTGCGAGTGCTGCCCTGCAGCCACGAGTTCCACGCCACGTGTGTGGACGAGTGGCTCAAGGTGAGGGGTGGTGGGTGAGTGGGTGGGTGAGTGAGTTGGTGGGTGGGTGAGTGGGTGAGTTGGTGGGTGGGTGGGTGGTTGAGTGGGTGGGTGAGTGAGTGTGTGGGTGAGGGGTGGTGGGTGAGTGAGTGAGTGGGTGAGTGAGTTGGTGGGTGGGTGAGGTGAGTGGGTGGGTGGGTGGGTCAGTGGGTGGGCGGGGGGGTGGGCGGGTCGGTGGGTGGGTGGGTCGGTGGGTGGGTGAGTGGGTGGGTGGGTCGGTGGGTGGGTGGGTCGGTGGGTGGGTGGGTTGGTTGAGTGGGTGGGTGGGTGAGTAGGTGGGTGAGTGGGTGGGTGGATGGGTGGGTGGGTGAGTGGGTGAGTGGGTGGGTGGGAGGGTAAGTGAGTGGGGGGGGGGTGTGGATGTGTGGGCGAGGTGGGTGGGTGGGATGGGGGTGAGTGTTAATTGATTGACACGATTGTTGTTGTGGTTGCTGATGTGGTTGTTGTGGTTGTTGATGTGGTTGTTGATGTGGTCGTTGCAGATTAACCCGACCTGCCCCATCTGCCGTGCCGATGCCTCAGAGATTCCACACAAGGGAGAGTGACACTCACCACCACACTCACCACCACACTCACAAGAACCACACTCACCACCACACTCACTAGAACCACACTCACCACCACACTCACTAGAACCACACTCACAACAACACTCTACCACATTCACAACCACAACTCACCACCACCACACTCACCAACACCACAACCACACTCACCGGAACCAAACTCACAACCCACCACACCAACCCACACAGCCGCGTGCAATCGCCGTTCACTCGGCCACGGGTGACCGTTGCCACGGTGACCGTTGCCACGGTTAACGTCGCCATGGTGAACGTTGCCACGGTGAACGTCGCCATGGTGAGGAGTGTTGCTGTGACTGCAGTTGCCCGACATTCACTTTGCTGTGGCTTTGCGGCTCTTGATGACGGTGGCAGAGGTGGTGGTGGTGGTCATGATGATGGTAGTGATGGTAGTGGTGGTGGTGATGATAGTGGTGGTGAGGGTGGTGGTGGTAGTAGTGATGATGGTTGCAGTGATGGTGATGGTGGTGATGATGGTGATGATCTTAATCGTCGTGGTGGTAGTGATGATGATGGTGGTAGTGATTGTTGTTTCTATTGTTTTGAAAAATAATGTCATGAAAAATGTAAAATATGTCAGTGGCAAACGTTTACAGCAATTAATTCATCGGTAAGATTACGCAATTAACGAAATGTATGACTAAAATACAGGGTTGTGTCAAAAAGATGGACCCAATTTCAAAGCAGTATATTTCACGATGGTTACAATTACTCAAAATGATACAAACGGTTTAATGAGTTATCAAGTTTTACAAACCATTTTCATAAATGCTCGATGTGCCCTCCACCTGCTGTACGGACACCATCGAGACGATAGTTGAATTCGTCCCAAACGCCTCTCTTCTCACGTTTTCGCCTGAGGTGCATGGTCTCCCTGTGCTCTTCCCCTGACATAAACAGCTCGCTTCCTCAAATTGTCGGTACCAACCACGAATGCTATTTGACAATGGCGGATCAATGCCAAAACGCCGTTGAAACGCATGCTGCACCGCAATTACGGACTCAGTCTTGCTGAACTGCTGAACGTAAAACGCTCCTTGTATTGCGGGGTCACCATCTTGCGAATGACTGAGGCAAGGGGCTGTTTGTGTACTGGGAGAGGCATCTAGTGGTAATCATTTGAAACTCTATGCCCCGCCCTTTCAAGTGGTAAGAGTTTCATTAATGGGCGGTTCGTGGTTGCAGAGATATAGCGATTTCAAATCGGGTCTGCTTTTTAAACACCCTATTCTTCGAAACGACTCAAGGGACAGAACGATGCTTTTCACGATCAGCTAATAGTTAACGCACCACTTTGTGATGGGAACCCTTTTCGAAACAAAAAAAAAAACTTCTTGGAGCAATCTTATTCGCACCGATATGGGCGTTGTGTGTGTGAGTAGGAGGACAGTCACCACGAGGTCCAATTACTCTGTGTGGGGGTTACAGAGAGCGATCAGTTCTACGTACTCACACATACACACTACACTACTTTATACTACTACACTATATACTACTATATACTACTACACACTACTACACTGTACGCTACTATATACTACTACACACTACGACACTATACACCACTATATACTACACTTCTATACACTACACTAATATACAATACACCACTATACACTACACTATACACGACTATACACGACTCACCTATACACTACACTACTACACACCACACTACAATACATGACGCTACTATACAATACACTACTATACACTACACTCTACATTACTATGTACTATACACTGGTCAACACACTTTTTCAGGCATAAGGTATTCCAACGGTGTTAATGTAATTTTGGGGTGCTGATTCCAAATCTGGCATCAGTTTTTGTCTATCACATCAGGTTTTAGAGATATAAAGTATTGCATTTTCAATAAAAACTGCAGAAGAAAAATATTAAATAAATGTGGATATCTACATAAAATTATATTATAAACACACTATCCTAAAAATACAGCACCATATTTTAACACTAAAGCAGTCACTGACTCGCAACAACTTGCAATCATAAGTGACAGAGTAAATTTCGGGTAAAATCAATGAAAATGGGGTATGCCGATAGCATAAAATGAGATGTGATAGAGCAAATCTGAGATCAGATTTGGAATCAGCACCCTGAAATTAGTCTAAAACAGCTTCAAAAATTGACCAGTGTAATTATAGCGGGCAGTGTGATTTTGAGGAATCAATGGCTTCCGCGGTGCAGCGTTCCTTGAACCGAAAATACCTCAGGTTCCCAGCAGGGGGCGCTGGGTCGGCGCGTGTACGTGTGTGTGTGTGTCGAACACGCGGTGCTCTCGGCTGCGCAGTCAGTCTCTCTCCACCGCTGGTAGGCCTCGGCAAGGTAAGGTCAAAGTTTAAAGGTAAAAACAACGAGCCTATTTTTACCCTACCTTTTACCTTACCACAATACAATCACTCTACCCTACCTTTTACCCTTCAGCAGGTAAGGTAAAAGGTAAAAACAACAAGCCTATTTGTACCCAACCTTTTACCTTACCGCAATACAATCACTCTACCCTACCTTTTACCCTTGAGCAGGTAAGGTAAAAGATAAAAAGCCACGAGCCTACCTTTTACCCTACCTTTTACCCTTACCCTATACAAATTACCCAATTACAGGGTAATTACTAGGGAACTACGACACATGAACAAGGTTTATAACGGTAAATGCTAGGTAGAGCGCTTTATTCATATAGAATACTCTCGATGATTCCAATTTTACACGCTTGTTGTCGTTGTTGTCATTGCTGTTGTCGTCGTTGTCATTGTTGTTGTTGTCATTGTTGTTGTCGTTGTCATTGTTGTTGTTGTCGTTGTTGTCGTTGTTGTCATTGTTGTTGTTGTCATTGTTGTTGTCGTTGTTGTCATTGTCGTTGTTGTCATTGTTGTCGTTGTTGTCGTCGTCGTTGTCGTCGTTGTTGTTTCCTCAAATCTTGTAACACATTTTTTACCCACTTCCTAATGTGGTATCGACTGCAAACTTGGTATACTTATGTCATACTGATGACAACACTATATTCTATCATTAAATCCTTTTTTATATGTTATGTTTCGACTTGGGTCTAATTGTCCACGGTCAACTGACGTTGGCTGTAAATCACCACGGCCCCTTACGTTGTGGCAAGCTTCGGGGCCACTTCCTGGAGTCGTGGAGTTCTGCCATTACTAGTACATTTCATAAAAGCGTGTTTTTAAGAAAGTTTTTTTTAATATTACTTATTAAATGGAGGCCACGGACTGCGCCACAGAGCTTCTAGCGGTAAACAAGGCACCGTATTTACCGGGTAATACTTCGCGCTACCTTTACCCTACCAGGTAATTCTTCCGAGCTACCTTTACCCAACTCTTTACCTTACCCCTTGGCATGTCGACATCTTTAGCCTTTAGCTTTACCCTTTTACCCGGTAAAAAGGGTAAATTACCTTGCCTTGCCGAGGCCTACTTACAGCACACACAAACACAGAGACACAAAGATTCTCTCTCACACACAACAACAACAAGGCCTAACCGCTGGGGTGGTTGCTGAGTCGGCACACTGCTCACGCTGGCGGCGGTGCCCGTGCCGGCATGGATGATGGGTCCGGCTCCGTCTGCGTCGATGTGCGCGATGGCTCCCGTCGCCAGAAAGCACTCGCAGTGAGTCACCCCCTTTGGCACCAGACACAGATACATCTGGGGATGATTTGCCCACTGACCATCGGCTTGTAATCTATAACATGCGCCTGTCATTTTTCCACTCCGGTGGTGGGTGTACACCTAGGACCCTATTCAAACCCACAATGGCCTGGTCTAAGCTAGATGATGAAAGTTGCAAGTGATCATCGCATAGAGCTGGGGTTGGCATCGAACAACCCTCCTGATACTGAGGGGAAATGGGCGAGGTTTAGGACTGTCACATGCAGCTGCAATGGCTAATTTGGTTACACGGTCCAAACATCCCCAGAGACCCTGGCTGACAAAGGAGGTGTTCCAGCTGGCTGAGAAAAAGCGTTAGCCCCACTCCCACCGACTACAGCATCAGAGAAGGAGGAGGCTTACCGCAGCCTTTGCTTGGAGGTTCGGAGAGCCGTGCGACAATGCAGGTTTCCCACGATCACAAAACACTCATTAACTCCATCACAAAGTAACTTGCAGCACCACACCTATCACTAGAATTAAGGGAAAGTAATGTTATCCGATCTCCGACCACAGGAATATCTTTGAGGTTTTGGTGAAGGGGAAATTCCTCTGCCCAGATAACATCATGGGGCAAGGTGGGAATAACCCTGCTGGGGCTGCCAATGCCTCGAATATTACAGGAAATAGTCACCCCTTGTGAGTGGCTGGCTGAGGTGTCATTTGTTGAGCAAGCACGACAGTGATCCAGAGTCTAAAACGAGGAAAAGTGCAGGGCAGAGACGATCTCCTAAGCGAACTGCTGAGAGAGGGTGGTGTTCATGCACAAACTGCCCTACACGACATTGTAATAACAGTCCGGACCACTGGATGGGTTTTGCAGGATTTGAAGGATGTCATTGTGGTCTCCCTCTTTAAGAATGGGGACCCCACCGGCTGTAACAACTACAGGGGCATCTCACTTCTCAGGGTGCCGGGAAAGGTCCTGGCAAGGATTATTCAACACCCCCTTGCCAGGCTTGCAAAACCCCAATGGGGTTTCAGACCAGGGCAGTCCTGTATGGATGCCATATTATCTGTCTCTCTGCTACTGCAGAGGTGTAGGGGATTCCAACAAGACCTACACTTCTGCTTTATTGATCTGGTCAAGGCCTATGATACCATCAACAAGCCAGGGCTTTTGGTTGTTCTTCGTGCTTTCAGAGTCCCTGACTCTCTGCTCACAATCATTAAGGACCTTCATGATGGTGGGCCTGCCCGAGTAGAGCTACGTGGCCAGGAGTCAAAGCCATTCTATGTTCATCTTGAGATGGCGACAGGGATGTCCTCTGTCTCCCACATTATTTAACAGACTACCTGCTGGATCTCCTCACTGTTTCGAAGAACAAATGTGACCTAAGGTCTTCGCTCATTTACCTGCTTCACATTCCTTATTGCCGTACAAATACTGGAGGAAGGGCCTTTTCTATTGATGCCCCCAGGGTCTGCAATGCTATCGCCAATAAACTGCAACTTGGATCACTGCCTGTGAGATCTTCACTGAAAACTGCTCCAGAGGAGTTGTACACCCCCAGCTGCCACTGCTATTCAGAATGTCTTGAAATAAAATGTATCGCTCCGGATGACCGCTGCAAAGTATGATCTTGAGTTTTGATGACAGTGTGCTGATCTGTAAAGGTGTATTGAATGTTTTTGTTACTGCTACTGATACTCCTGCTGTTATGGAGTGACTCATGCAGCCAGTTCTGGCTGCAGAGTTTGGTCGTACATGTTATGTATATCGTTTATTGCTAAATTTGAATCACAGTTCCTATGATCACTGGTACATTGTTTTTATAGCTTTATTTTGATGATTTTTTTAACTTTTGGTTTAGCCATGTTTGTTTGTTGTAGTATAGAGTAATCCTGATAACTTTAATCTAAATTGTCTTATGGTTCAAGGCGCTCTTCCCCCTCCAAACCCGCTTAAATATACGCTCCAAGCCTGGGGTGCTTCATTCAGACGCTGTCTTCCCGACAGACCTGTTCTTCACCTGAGGACGGCTGCTTGCGTTGTGGCCGAAACGTCGTGAGAATTATTTTATTATGTTTTATTTTTATTATTTCCCTTCGTGACTTTACCGAAAGAACCAAGAAGATGAATCCCTGCAGTCACGAAAGCTTTAAATCGAAATTTAAATGTCTTATGGTTGTTATTGTTTACTTGCATCCCACTGGGATTTTTGCACGCAGCGTTAAAATACGGTGTTTTTTCTGGAAGACTTTGCTGTTTTTTCCTGGATTTTTCTGTTGCGCGTAGTCACTTTAAGTTGTTTCTTGTTCATGTTTTTGTTGTTGCACACGAGTCAAGCGCCGCATGGCTCACAGAATTATCTAACTGAAATGAAACTGAAATTATCTTTGACCACGTAGTTCGAGAATATTTCCATGGCTGTACCAAAGGGATTTCCATCCCCACAACTCCCCATTGGTGATGGAGCAGTTGTGTAGAGAGTGGAGAGTTTCTCATACCTGGGCAGTGTGCTTATGACAGCTCTCGTTTGACAGCAGAGGTCTCACTCCAAATCAGTTGAGCGGCATTATCTTTTCATCGACTGTGTAACGCTGTCTGGATGCCACCTGGTCTGTTGCTCCACACAAAGCTTCGGATCTTCTCGGCCAAGGTCATGCCCTCCCTTTTCTACGCTTGGGATTAACCAGGCTTCATTGTGTGAATAGCAAACAAATCCTTGAACGATCTGGACAAAGTCCCATCGGTGAGCTCTTCCGGAAGACAAGACTACCTTTGCTGGGTCTTATAGCCAGCATGCCCAGCCACCGCATACCCAAACAGCTTCTGTTTGGCCGCATAGAGGGGGCTAAACTGGCACGACATTGGATGGAGAAGAGATGGACTGATGCGGTATGGGAGGATGTGGAGCTGAGTGGCCTTGCATATGACTAGTACTAGCGGTGTCAAGATCGGCCTCTATGGAGGAGGCTCGTGAAGGACGCTGTTACTCTGGGCAGTTGGAGGCAGTCGCCCTCCAACAACAATGGAGGGCGGAGGAGCAATGCTCATAACAATGAGCAAAGCGCCGGGCGGCTAAAACGCAGAAATTTGCCTCCATAGGGGGTACAGGTGGTGCATCGGTCACTCATCTCAGTCAGTTGACCCGTGGCACCTGGGTCTGCCCCGTGACCTCCTGCCAGCGGGCGTTCGACACTTCACGTGGCCTCAAGGTGCACGTAGCCAGGCACAAGCACCGTGGTGACGTCACCGCCACTTAGTGGCGAATGGTGGTTGTTGTTGTCTGGATAGTGTGTATCGGTGTGTATCGGTGTGTGTGTGTGTGTGTGTCAGTGCGTGTCAGTGTGTGTGTCCGGGCCGGATGGTGGTGGGAGTCAGGCTTTATATATGAATCCGTGTGGGTGGCTTTCCTGTAATCAGTGTCCCAACGAGCCATCAGGTTTCTTCTCGATAAAAACATCCAGGAATGGTAGCTTGCCATCATTTTCCACTTCAATGGTGAATTTGATAGATGGGTGTATGGAATTGATGTGGTTGAAAAACGGGTTCAGTGCTCGCTGTCCATGTGGCCAGATGATGGAAGTGTCATCCACAGGGAAGGACGTAGGGTGGATGTCAGGATGGCATCTGTTTCCAATTTATCCATGAAAACATTCGGTACCACTGGTGATAAGGTTAGAACCCATAGGGGAACCTTAATCTTGTTTGTAGAATTTACCATTCCAGATGAGGTAAGTGTTTGCAAGGCAGTGCCTCACCAAAGTTGGTACATCAGGATTCAGTCGCTGTTGGACCAAGTCTTCAATGATTGCTATAGTGTCAGGTACAGGTACCTTGGTAAACAGAGATACTACATCGAAACTGACAAGCAAATCATCTGGAGACAGTGAAATGTCCTGGATTAGAGAAACCAAGTGAGCTGTATTACGTACTGCTGAGGTGGTCTTGCCTGTGAATGGAAGCAGGGTCTCAGACAGAAATCGGGCCAGTTGTAGGTAGGTGAGTTGATGGTAGAAACGATAGGACGGAGTGGAGTACCTTCTTTTAGATTTATGGAAGACCGTAAAATCTGGGTTGTCTAGCAGCCGGAGGGTTTAGAGAGAGCTGCTTGGTTGGTTCGATTAGAGAAGTCGAATTAGTGATGATATTGTTGGTTATTGTAGCCAGGCGGTTGGTAGGATCTTTGTTGATTTTAGTATAACTGGCATCATTAATAAGGTAGTTGTTTGTTGTTTCCTCCATGATGACCGTGGCATTGCTCTTGTTCATACTCTTAATTTCATTTTTTACCTACGTGACTTTACCGAAAGAACTAAGAGTACGAATCCTTGCAGTCACGAAAGCTTCAAATCTAGAATTGCTCTTGTTGGCTGAAAGGTTGACAATGCCTTTTTTTCAATTGAGCAAGTTCAGAGCGCTCATCCCTGCTGATGTTACTAATGGGTTTCTTAGCATTTTGAGGATGGCGGCGATTTCAGATCTTGCTACGTCTGCTGGGATGTGACCTAAACCTTTGAGGGCTACGTCAACCTGGGCAATGATATCATCCACTGGGATGTGTTTAGGGGTGACTGTAAAGTTCAGCCCTCTAGCTAGAACCGATTTTAGGCTATCGAAAATTGGGCTGTTACTCTGATTGATGACAATCTTGTTAACATTAAACTTTTTCACGTGTGGATCTGGCTTCTTTTTGACAGGATGTTGAATTTAGCAATCAGGTTTATTTTACATTTGGATGACATTAACCAAGCAAATTCGTAATTTGCTGTGGTGCTGCCATTCTCCCCTGCCGTTTGGCTGTTATCTCCGACTCTCTGAGTTTCATTGCCCTGTTAGGTGCCTCTGCATTAACGGGCTGGGGTCTCACTAACATGGCCACCTTTGCTCCCTTAGCCTCGATGTATCGATGGTTCTGGCTGTGTGATGGGCTGTGTCTCACTGGCGCGACCACAGTTGCGGTGGTTCTCTTGCGTAGAAGCGCTTGCCTCACAGCGCAGTTGGCAGCGCCGCATCTTGTGTTACACATAGACATGACATCAACTTGCTAATCCCCATTATCTCCCCGAATCTCCCTGCCTAATCTAATATGTGGGGGCGATACTCTTATGCGGCGACGGAAGCTTATTTCATGCTAATATTTCTCCCTAATCTCTCTTCCTAATCGTCCCCATTAACACAACTGACGTGCTTGCGTCCGGGGATGAAATTCCTTTCCAGCTCAGAACCCGCTTGCTTGCCCATCACCACGTAAATAACCTCTTGTTGATGTAACAGCTCTTTCGCTGGTTCAGCAGTTCCACTGCTGGATTATTTTTTCCGCCTGAGGACGGACTGCTTGTGTTGCGATCGAAATATCGTGATTTATTATTTTTTGTTTAATTATATTTTTCTACCTACGTGACTTTATCGAAAGAACCAAAGAGTATGGATTCCTGCAGTCACGAAAGCTTCAAATCAAGAATGAAACCCCTACCTCCTCGTTGGTGTCAGATGCTAACGCTGTGGTAGCTGTGAGCTCCACCCTTCATGGCGCCTGTAGCCACCACAGCGGCCAAAAGGGAGCTCTGGACGGGTGCGAGGGGGCTGGTAACCCCCTTCCACCTTTGATTCAACCGTCACTGAACCACGTGCGAAAAATATTAAGGGCCCCCAGGGAAACAAACGTCCATGACGTCTCCTGGCCAAACCAAATTTGAACCGAGAGTCCCGAATAAACGGAAGTCGAAATCGCAATTAATCTTTTTTTGCGACTCCGTCCCACCACGCACATAAACGCCGCGACGCCACCTGGCGTGGATCATTCTGTTGTCATGTCGTCCAAACGCCGAAGAAACAAAACTTTGAAACATTGGTTAGCGCATCGTATAGAGTGCGTCGAGAGGAATAAATTGCCATATCGCTTGCCTTCAACAGACATTAAATTACTTCGCAACATAGTTCATGTGAGAGACGGGGGCTCATGGGTTCAATTGGTAGAGACAGGAGAATGAATTCTTACCCCCCTAGAAAGGAGCCACTGCCACGCGGAATGTTGGAATGCTCGCTGCGGAGGTGAGACACAGGTTATATGCACACAGACACACACACAGGTACAAACAAAGACCAAGATCCTCGCATATAGCCTTAACAGACTCTAGGGGCAGGTGCAGTAAGTGAGCACCTATGAAGGCCAGAACGGCACACGAGGGGGTGGATGGCCTGCATCACGCCCAGCCGCCTTTGTCTCCACAGTGGCGATATTTTCACGCACCGGACCAGGTACTAATTTGAGGCTGAGTCGACCAAGGGGAGGCTCAAGACTTGTTACGGTAATCGTCACTGGTGTCGGCCGTGAGCGGGAATCGAACCCAGGTCGCCATTTTCGAAGCAGAGCGTGCTAACCGCTACACTACCACTCCTAAAACACACAGACACAACAACAACAACCGCCATTCGCCACTAAGTGGCGGTGACGTCACCACGACGCTTGTGCCAGGCCATGTGCACCTTGAGGCATCGTGAAGTTTCGAACGCCCGCTGGCAGGAGGTCACGGCGCAGACCTAGGTGCCACGGGTCGACTGACTGAGATGGCCGAGATGACTGGCTGATGCACCACAGGTGCCCCAAACTGTGCCCACTTGCTGCGCTTTATCTGCCCGGCATTCCGCTCATTGTTGTGAGCGTAGCTTTTTAGATCTCCGTTGTTACTAGAGGGCGATTTCCTACAAATGCCCAATAGCATCCATCATTAGCCTCCTCCAGAGGCCGATCTTGACACCGCTAATACCAGTCATTGGCAAGTCCACTCAGCTGTACGTCCTCTTGTACCACATCACTCCATCTCTTATCTAGCCAGTGCCGTGGCTAGATATGCGGGCTACATGACCCAGACAACGAAAGGACTTTGTCCAGGTCTTTCAAGGATGGGTGAGCTCCTCACACAATCCAGCCTGGTTAAACCTAGCATGGATCATAGCAGACTAGCCTAAACCTTTCTCCCAGCAAATATTTTCGATTAGGGGGTCCATGTTTCGCAAGCGTAGACAAAGGGAGGGCATAACCGGAGCCAAAAAGACCTGAAGCTTCATGTTGGAGCGACAGACCAGGTAGCTTCAATACAATGTTATGCAACCGATGAAAAGATATTGCCGCTCATTTGATTCGGAGTGCAACCTCTGCTGTCAAACCAGAGCCAGTCAGGAGCAAACTCCTCAGGTATGAGAAACTCTCCACTATCTCCACAACTGCCCCATCTCTAATTGGGAGTTTTCGGGGTGGAGTGGCTGGTAGTGCAAAATACCCAGTGGGGCTGATGGCAAGGTTCCACGTCTTTGTGGCACGCTCCAGGTTCAGCAGCAGCACCTCCAGCTCCTCCTCTGAGTAAGCTGCAATCACCAGATTACACTGGTCAAAAAAAAAAAATTCTGACCTGGACTTTTGCAGCTGTTTTAGAATAATTTCAGGGTGCTGATTCCAAATCTGATCTCAGATTTGCTCTATCACATCATTTTTATGCTATCGGCATACCCCATTTTCATTGATTTTAGCCGAAATAAACTCTGTCACCTATGATTGCAAGTTGTTGCGAGTCAGCGACTGCTTTAGTGTTAAAATATGGTGCTGTATTTTTAGGATAGTGTGTTTATAATATCATTTTATGTAGATATCCACATTTATTTAATATTTTTCTTCTTCAGTTTTTATTGAAAATGCAATACAGTGATCCCTCGTTTATCGCGAAGTAGGATTGGCCCCCCTAGGAATTTCCGTATATGTGTGTGTGGGTACCAGAATGTTTAAAATATGTATATTTATGCTTGATATATATATTTTACTTAAGTCTATTTAATTATAAAACCTTAATATTATACATTCACTCTCTCTCTCTCATACGATACGTATTATGGTGTTCTACACTCACCAGTTAATTTCGAACACAACACTAAGATACGCGAGACACAGTTGACAGCGTGAACGAGAGTGGCGAGATACAACACGGGAAGGCGCTTAGAGAAGATGCGATGATGCGCAGCCAATCAGCTCACGGGATACTGTACATCCACTCGTGCTCTCATTCGTCGATCTCGCGCCGGGAACCAATCACGTGCCTTGTCTGAGTGCCCGTGGGTACAGTATGTACAAAGCCGTTTCTCTCGTGCATCACGATGAAACAACGCTGCTTTCCGCAATACGGCTGCCGATATGGCGGTATTTTTGAATTTTTATTTTTCGATTCATATTTTTGAAAAATCCGCGATGCACTGAGGCCGCGAAACTTGAACCGCGAATAATCGAGGGATTACTGTATTTGATATCTCAAAAACCTGATGTGATAGACAAAAACTGATGCCAGATTTTGAATCAGCACCCCAAAATTACCTTAAAACCGTTGGCATACCTTATGCCAGAAAAAGTGTGTTGACCAGTGTTATCGGCATACATAACATGGTTGAGCGATAGAGAGCCATCCCTCAACCACACTCACCCACTCAAACACACATACAGGTACACACACAGCTAGATACAAGTTCACACACACTCACACTCATATTTACTCACACACACAGGCGTCGTCTTTGTGAATACATTTTATTGAGAGAGTAACTGAGTCAAGTGAACACAGCCCCAAAGGCCACGATGATGAAGAACCAAACTCCCACACTACAGTGCAGCACTCAGCACTAACACCATCTAGACCACCTAGACAATCTTCACCAACTAATACCCTCTTCACTGACGAGACCATCTACACCGTCTAGACCAGGGGTCGGCAACCAAAATAACAAGAAGAGCCATTTCTTTCCAATTCGGTACAAAATTCAGTATTTCAAGAGCCGCAATGCATCTGAGTACATACTGTACTCATGTACATATCGTCAAGAAGCAGCCTGTAAAGAGCCGCATGCGGCTCCGGAGCCGTAGGTTGCCGACCCCTGGTCTAGACCAACGAGACCGTCTAGACCATCGACACTGTCTAAACCATCTAGACCGTCTACACCAACTAAACAGTTTAGACCATCTAGACCAACTACACCATCTACACCATCTAGACCAGGGGTCGGCAACCTACGGCTCCGGAGCCGCATGCGGCTCTTTACGGGCTGCTTCTTGACGATATGTACGTATGTACATAGATGCATTGCGGCTCTTGAAATACAGAATTTTGTACCGAATTGGAAAGAAATGGCTTTTCTTGTTATTTTGGTTGCCGACCCCTGATCTAGACCATCTAGAACATCTCGACTCTCTAGACCATCTATACTGTGTTAGACTATCTACATTGTCTAGACCATCTATACCATCTACACCATCTAGAACATCTTGAACATTTCGACTCTCGAGACCAACTAGACTCTCTCGACCGTCTACACTAACTAGACCGTCTAGACCATCTAGACCATCTAGACCATCTATACTGACTAGATCATCTGCACCGTCGAGACCAACCAGACGGTCTACACCATCTAGACTGTCTTCACCGTCTTAGACCGACTAGACCGTCTCGACCAAGTAGACCGTCTAGACCAGGGGTCGGCAACCTACGGCTCCGGAGCCGCCTTGCGGCTCTTTACGGGCTGCTTCTTGATGATATGTACGTATGTACAGTATGTACTCAGATGCATTGCGGCTCTTGAAATACTGAATTTTGTACCGAATTGGAAAAAAATGGCTCTTCTTGTTATTTTGGTTGCCGACCCCTGGTCTAGACCAACTAGACGGTCGAGACCATCTAGACTGACCAAATCGGGGAGAGGCAGGAGAGGAATGAGAGGCAGGAGAGGATGAGAGGCAGGAGAAGGCAGAGCAGCTGCTGCCGCACCGTAGCCGACCGTGCCAATGAGAGGTTTGTGAATCCTCGCACTTTTTAGCCAGCCACACTGCACGCACACTGCCCTCTCAGCGCTGCCCTCTCACCGCTGCCCTTTCAGCGCTGCCCTTTCACCGCTGCCCTTTCAGCGCTGCCCTCTCAACACTCACCTCCCCCCCCCCCGCCCTCTTGCTGCCCTCCTCCTCCTTCTTTCTACACAGGTTCGAGACGTCCGCCATGACCTTGGCTATGGCTGCCCTGGCAGGACCCAGCCCAGCCGCTCCTACAGGGGCCAGGGAGAGGGGAGGGGCAGGGGGAGAGAGATAGGGGGGGGGGGGAAGGGTGGAGGTTGGAGGGGGAGGATGAGGGGAGGAAGGGAGAAGAGAGGAGTGGGGAGAGGTGAGAGAAGGAGGGAAGGGGTGGTTAACATCTCGCCACTGCAGCAATCCAGAGGCTACCTGGGAGATCTTTGCCTCTGTGTCTACTCTAGTCGCGGCTACTGACAGCCCTTGCCCCCTTACAGCCCTGCTAGAGGCTACCTGGGGGTACCTTTGTCTCTGTGTCTATTTGCTACTGCTAAAAGCACTTCCCCCTATTGCCCTACTAGGGGCTACCTGGGGGACCTTTGTATGCGTCTCTGAGTTTGTGTGTAGTCCGGCAAGACAACCCCGTAAATCCTTGGTGGTGCCGGACGGAAACGCTGTGGTGAGCAACACCATTGGGGAACGGATAATTATATATTTGGCTCTACCCCCTTATGGTGATTGTAGCCATCACAGCAGCCAATGGGAACTCTGGACGGGTGCGAGGGGCTGGTAACACATCCACCTTCAATTAAAGCACCAGGCTTGTGTCAGAGGGGATTCATTTTCTCGGCTCTTTCGGTAAAGTCACGTAGAAGGGAAGTAATAAAATAATAAAAATAAAACATAATAAAATAATTCTCACGACGTTTCAGCCACAACGCAAGCAGCCGTTCTTGACAACGCAAGCAGCCATCCTCAGGTGAAGAACAGGTGAAGAACAGGTCTGTCGGAAAGACAGCGTCATTCAGTCATTCAGACGCTGTCTTTCCGACAGACCTGTTCTTCACCTGAGGACGGCTGCTTGCGTTGTGGCCGAAACGTCGTGAGAATAATTTTATAATGTTTTATTTTATTATTTTATTATTTCCATTCTACATGACTTTACCGAAAGAACCAAGAAGATGAATCCCTGCAGTCACGAAAGCTTTAAATCAGAGGGGATTGTTGTCTATGACGTCTCGTGGCCAAACCCCATTTGGTGGAGCCAGGAGACTGATCCCGGCACCCTCAGGGTTCCTCAAGAAACGATAAAAACAGCCACTGCGGGTGACCACGTGAAATGTTTGAACGCTCACTCCGAAGGAGAGGCTACTCCTCTGTCAGGAGCTGGACAGGCACTGCCTGGATCTGTACGGCATTCAGGAAGTCAAATGTACTGGCTCTGGCTCCAGTCACCTTGAGGGGTGGCAGTCTTCTACTCAAGACAGGAGACTGCCAAACAGTTTGAAGGGGGTGTGGGAGCATGGCAGTGAGGTGTGGGAAGCTGTAATCCCCAGGCTACTGTGGGCTCGCCTTCCCAACAAGAAGAGGTGAGGAATGGTGGTGGTGGTTGCTTATACCCCCACCGAAGATGAACATCAGGGAGGGATGCAGGCATGGCTGATGATTCAGATGCCTTCTATGCCGTCCTGTTACAGGTGCTATTTAAAGTGGCCACTCAGTGACTTTAATGCCCGAGTGGAATCTAGGCTGGAGTGATTGAAAGCATGGGCCAGATCAGCTCATTAACAACGGTTGGAGGCTGCAAGACTTGAGTACAGTCCATGGGCTTGTAATTACCAACACGCTCCTCTGGCATCGGCGCATCCACATAACATCATGGATGCATGCCGGGTCCAATCAAAAACATCTACTGGACTACGTAGTGACGGAACAATGGATGCGGGCCTAGATCCTTGACTCCAGGACCTATCGTGGAGCTGATCTCCCCACTAACCTTCGGGTTGTCATCTATAAGATGCGCCTGCCATTCTTCCACTCCGGTGGTGGGTGTACATCTAGGACCCCATTCAACCTACAGTGACCTGGTCTCAGCTAGCTGATGAAAGTTAGAAGCGATAACTTCATCATCGCACGCAGCGGGGTTTGCATTGTCCCCCCCCCTCCTGCTGATGCCGAGGGAAAACGGGTGAGGGTGAGGACTGTGGTTCATGCAGCTGCAATGGCTGCTTAGGGTACACGGACCAGACCTCCCTGGAGACACTGGCTGATAGAGGAGGTGTTCTGTCTGGTTGAGAAAAAGCAAAAAGGCCCACGCCCACCATCTGCAGCATCCCACATCGGAGAATGAGGAGGCTTGCCGCAGCCTTCGCTCAGAGGTTTGCTCAGCCGTGTGATGCTGCAAGGATGAGTGGTGATCGTGGGTTGCTGAGGAGATGAATTCTGCCTCAGTAGCCTATGATCATAAAATACTCTTTAACTCCATCAAAAAGTAACTTGTGGTACCACACCTATCACTATCCTTAAGGAAATGAACTGTGATCCGATCTCTGACTACCAGGAACAGGTTGGCAGGTTTGCTGAACATTTATGTTAGCTCCTGTGTGAGGAGAAATAGCTCAGTCCAAAAACATCATGGGGCAAAATGGGGATGAACCTGCTGAGCCTGCTGTGCCTCAAATATTGGAAAAGCAGTCACCCCTGTGAGTGGCTACCTGAGGTGCCATGTTTTTGAGGAAGTACAGAAGGCGATCCAGAGTCTAAAACCAGAAAAAGTGCTGGGAAGAGATGATCTCCCAAGCAAAATTGTGAAGAAATGTGGCGTTTCTCTGCAGACCACCCTACTTGAAATCACTGGATGGCTTCTACAGGATTGGAAGGATGCCCTGGTGGTCCCCCTCATTAAGAAGAGGAACCGCACAGACTGTAACAACTACAGGGGCATCTCCTTCCTCAGTATACCAAAAAAGTCCTGGCAAGGATTATTCAATATCGTCTTGCCAGGCACGCTGAGAGGCTTGCAGAGCTCCAATGTGGTTTTGGGTAAGGGTGGTCCTGTACAGATTCCATATTTTCTATCCGTTTTCTACAGCAGAGGTTTAGGGAATTTCAACAGGACCTAGATCTCTGCTTTATTGATCTGTCCAAGGCCTATGATACCATCAATAGGCCTGGGCTCTTGGTTGTTCTTCATGCTTTTGCGGTCCCTAACTTTCTGCTCAAAATCATTAAGGACCTTCATGATGGTGGGCAGGCCCGGGTAAAGCTGGGAGTCAGAGCCATTTCTTTTTCACCTTAGGGTGCACATTATTTAACATCGTTTTGACCACGTAGTTCGAGAAGCCTTCCATGGCTGTACTGGAGGATCTCCATCTGGTACAAGGGTACGGTCGAGGGATGGGTCCCAATTGGGCAACCATGTTATGTATGCCGATAATCTGGTGATTGCAGTTCACTCAAAGGAAGAGATTGAGGTGCTGCTGCTAGATCTGGAGCGTGCCACTATTAGGTGGAGCCTTACCCTCAGCCCCACCAAAACTAAGCACCTGCCTGGGTATTTTGTACCATCAAAAATTCCACCCCCACACCTCCCAATTTGTAATTGGGCAGTTATGGAGAGAGTGGAGAGGCCCCATACCTGGGCGGTGTGCTCATGACCGGCTCCGGTGTGACAGCAGAGGTCTCACTCCGAATCAGTCGAGAGGCATATTTTCATTGGCTACGTAATGTTACGTGGAAGCTACCTGGTCTGCAGCTCCACACGAAGCTTCGGGTCTTCTCGGCCACATTCGTGCCCTCCGTTCCCTTCACTTGCAAAACGTGCACCACCCCTAGTGGAACATCTTCGCCAGTTAGAAACATTCACACTGGCCTGCCTATGATCCATTCTGGGTTTAACCAGGCTGGATTGTGTGAGGAGCTCCAACACCTTGAAATATCTGGACAAAGTTCAATCGGTGAGCTCTTACGGCAGGCAAGGCTACGTCCTGCTATAGGCTAACTGGGAGTACTCGCTACTACAACAGCACTTTCCGCTACAGCCCTGCTTGAGGCTAATCAAGAGTGTCTTTGTCTCTGCGTCTCCTCGACTCACTACTAAATCACAGCCCTTGTCACCATAACAACAGCCCTGGCCAGATGCCCTCCGAGCCGAGGCCCTGCCTCCGTACCGATGGCCTGCAGCCCGGCCACGATCCCTCTGGCCGCCACCCCACCTCCGTTGGCGGCCGCAGCCCAGGACATGGGCTTGGCGGCCAGGGTACTGGCGACGATCCCTCCAGCGTCGAAGCCCGCGGCTCCTATTTCCACTGGGGTAGGAGCAATTGCGAACACTGGCTCACAACAACAACAAGCATGGCAACAACAACAATAACAACAGTGAGGAGGGAGGAGGCGAGCCCACAACAACAACGATGGTAACAACACCGTCACACAAACGATCACGTGGATGCATGGCGTCGCAGCAGCGTCACCATCACACAGCCTCACACACAGGATCATACAGCATCACACACAGCATCATACAGCATCACACCCATGCTCACACAGCATCACACAACAACACACACAGCATCACACAGCATCACACAACATAACACACAGCATCATACAGCATCACAGACAGCCTCACACAGCATCACACCCAGGCTCAAACAGCATCACACAGCATCACACACAGCCTCACACACAGCAATACACACAGCATCATACAAAGCATCACACAGCATCACACAGCATTACACACAGCCGAACACAGCATCAACAACAACAACAACAACGACTGCCATTCGCCACGAAGTGGCGGTGATGACATCACGACGCTTGTGCAAGGCTGTGTGCACTTTGAGGCCACGTGAAGTGTCGAACGCCCGCTGGCAGGAGGTTACGGGGCAGACCTAGGTGCCACGGGTCGACTGACTGAGACGACTGGCTGATGTGCCCCCTACTGTGCCAACTTGCTATGCTTTAGCCACCAGGCGCTCCGCTCGTTGTTGTGAGCATCGCTCCTCCGCCCTCCATTGTTGTTTGAGGGCGACTGCCTCCAACTGCCCAGTAGCCTCCTTCACGAGCCTCCAGTTATCGGCAAGTCAACTCAGCTCCACATCCTCCTGTACCACATCACTCCATCTCTTCCCTCGTCCATACCGCGCCCATTTAGCCCCCTCGATCCAACAGAACAAAAGCTGTTTTGGCATGTGGTGGCTGGGCATGCGGGCTACATGGCCCAGCCAACGCAGTCTTGCCTGCCGTAGGAGCTCACCGATGGGACTTTGTCCAGATCTTTCAAGGATTTGTGAGCTCCTCACACAATCTAGCCTGGTTAAACGCAGGATGGATCGTAGGCAGACCAGCATAAATGTTTCTAACCAGCGAAGATGTTCCATTATGGGGGTCCACGTTTCGCACGCGGAGAGAAGGGAAGGAATGACCATGGCCGAGAAGACCTGGAGCTTCGTGCGGAGTGAGAGACCAGGTAGCATCCACACAGTGTTACGCAACCGATGAAAAGAGACCTCTGCTGTTAAACCGCAGCAGGTCATGAGCACGCTGCCCAGGTATGGAAAACTCTCCACTCTCGCCACAACTGCCCCATCATCAATTGGGAGTTGTGGGGGTGGATTGTCCGATGGTACAAAATGCCCAGGCAGGTGCTTAGTTTTGGTGGGGCTGATGATTAGTGGCAAGCTCCAGGTTCAGCAGCAGTGCCCCCAACTCCTCCTCTGAGTCAGCAGCAATCACCAGATCATCAGCATACATAACATGGTGGAGCAATAGGAAGCCATCCCTTGACCGCACCCGGGCATCGATCAGCCTCCCATTGTATCTGCACCAGATGGAAATTCCTCCAGTACAGCCATTGAAGGCTTCACAAACTACGTGGTCAAAATAGATGTTAAATAATGTGGGAGCCAGAGGACATCCCTGTCGCACCCAAGGTGTACAGGGAATGGCTCTGACTCCGGGCCACGTAGTTTTACCCGGGCCCGCTCACCATCACATAGGTCCTTAATGATTGTGAGCAAAGGGTCAGGGACTCCGAAAGCACAAAGAACAACCCAGAGCCCAAGCCTACTGATGGTATCATAGGCCTTGACCAGGTCAAAAAAGCAGAGATGTAGGTCTTGTTGGAATTCCCTACACCTCTGCTGTTGCAGATGGACAGAATATATGGCATTTGTGCAGGACCGCCCATTCCTGATACCGCATTGGGGCTCCGCAAGCCTCTCCTCAGTGTGCCTAGCAAGGCGATGTTGAATAATCCTTGCCAGGACCTTTCTCGGCACACTGAGGAGTGCGATGCCCCTGTAGGTGTTACAGTCTGTGCGGTCCCCCTTCTTAAAGAGGGGGACCACCAGGGCATTGTTCCAATAATGCAGAACCCGTCAAGTGGTCCAGACTATTGTTATCATGTCATGTCATGTAGGGCAGTATGTGCACATATGCCACCGTCCCTCAGCATTTCGCTTGGGAGATCATCCCTGCCCGGTGCCTTTCCTGGTCTCAGACTCTGGATCGCCTCCAGTACTTCCTCAACAGATGGCACGTCAGCCAGCCACTCACAGGGGATGACTTCTTCCTCCAATATTTGAGACACCGCTGCCTCGGCAGGGTCATCCCTACTTTGTCCCATGTTGTTTTCCTGGGTGAGGGATTTCCCCTTCCCCAGGACCTCACAGAAATGCTCAACAAATCTGCAAACCTGTTCCTGGGGGTCGGATATTGGATCACAGTTCTTTCCCCTAATGATGGTAAAAGGTGTGGTGCTGCAGGTTGATGGAATTAAAGAGCGATTTGTGATCGCCGGCCACTAAGGCAGATTCCATCTCCTCAGCAACCCGCGACCACTACCCATCCCTGCAGCACCTCACGGCTCTCCGAACCTCTGAGCGAAGGCTGCGGTAAGCCTCCTCATTCTCTGATGTGGGATGCTGGAGCCGATGAGAGTGGGCCTGTCGCTTTTTCTCAGCCATCTTGAACACCTCCTCTGTCAGGCAGGGTCTCTGGGGAGGTCTGGACCATGGACCTAAAGCAGCTATTGCAGCTGCATGAGCCACAATCCTAAACCTTGCCCATTTCCCCTCGACATCAGGAGGAGTGGGGGACGATGGCAACCCCAGCTGCAAGCGATGATTAAATTCTCGCTTGCAACTTTCATCCGCTAGCTGAGACCAGGCCATCTTAGGTTTGAATGGGGTCCTGGGTTTACACCCACTAACGGAGTGGAGGAATGGCAGGCGCATCTTACATATGACAAGTTGATGGTCAGTTTGCAGATCAGCTCCACGGTAGGTCCTGGTGTCAAGGACATGGGCCCGCATCTGCTGTTCCATCACTATGTAGTCCAGCAGATGTTCTTGCTTCGACCCGGCATGCATCCATGATGTAGTGTGGATGTGCCTATGCCGGAACAGCGTGTTGGTAATTACAAGCCCATGGGCTGCACAAAAATCTAGCAGCCTCCTACCGTTGGTATTGAGCTGATCCGGCCCATACCTTCCAATAACTCCAGACCAGGTGCCAGCATCATGACCAACTCGGGCATTGAAGTCACCCAAAAAGATAACTATCCCGAGGGGCTACTTTAGCGAGCACCTGTGACAGGAGGTCATAGAAGGCATCTGACTCATCGGTGGGGGCATAAGTAACCACTACCACCACTCCTCGCCTCTGGTTGATTGGAAGGCGAGCCCAGAGGAGCCTGGGGCTTACAGCTTCCCACTCATCACGCCACATTCCAACACCCCCTTCATTCTTTTATTCAGAAGAAGAGCCACACCCTGTTGCTTGGCAGTCTCCTTCCCCGAGTAGAGAACTGTCCACCCCTCATGGTGGCAGGAGCCACAGCCGGTCCATCGGACCTCCTGAATACCACAGAGATCCAGGCAGTACCAGTCCAGCTCCCGACAGAGGAGTGGCAGCCTCTCCTCTGCAGTGAGCTTTCGAACATTCTACGTGGCCACACGTAGTGGTTTTTTGTTGTTTCTGGAGGAACCCCGAGGGTAAGGATTCAGTCTCATGGGGTCATAGACGCCTGTCCCCCCGAGACCTCTAGCACAAGCTTATTAATTTGAGATTTAAACGTAGTTTAGTAGTAATTAATTGAAGGTGGAGGGGTCACCAGCCCCTCGCACCCTTCCAGAGCGCCCATTTAGCCGCTGTGATGGTTGCAAACGCCATGCGACAAAAAGCCAAACAGAATTCGCCCTCCCCCTACGGCACTGCCCACGACAGCGTTGCCCGTCTGGCACCACGAGGAGGTAAGGGGTTGTTTTGCTGTGTGTGATGCTGTGTGATGCTGTGTTAGGTTGTGTGTAATGTTGTGTATGTTGCTGTGTGTGATGCACACAGCAGGACCACAACACCAGCGATCACGTGGAGGCATGGCGATGTTATTGCTTACTTCCTCCGGCTGCCATGGCGCGAATCTTACACCAGTCGATCCACTCATCCTCTGTGTGGGGGTTACACAGTGCGATTAGTTCCACGTCCTCACATGTACACACTGCACTTTACACTACTATATACTACACTATACACTACTATATACTACTACACTATACACTACTATATACTACTACACATTACTACACTATACACTACTATTTACTACTACACACTAATACACTGTACACTTTTTTCTTCTTGGTTCTTTTGGTAAAGTCACGTAGAAAGAATTTAATAAAATAATAAAAATAAAACATAAAAAAATAATTCTCACGACGTTTCGGCCGCAACGCAAGTAGCCGTCTTCAGGTGAAGAACAGGTCTGTCAAGGAGACAGAATCTGAATGGAACGCCCCAGGATTGAAGCGACTATTTATGTTGGGATGGAGGGGCGAAGAGCGTCTTGACAAAATAATTTGCATATCAAGAGGAATTTAACATATTTATGGAAAATGCAGAAATGCGATTAATCCATTCTCTCATGGTCGCCGGATGGATTGCAGAGAACCTCTGTCTTGGAGAAGCCATCCGGCTACCATGAGAGATTCGTCCATGAGGCGATCCACATATACAAACACAGAGACAATTTCAACCGAGAAGATGAATTCTGGCTCAGCAATCATTGGAAGGCCTTAATAAACCATTTCGGATCTTAACTGATTGTGTTCACGTTTATGGTGACTTTCAGACCGCAGTCCACTCACTGACAGTGACTATATATCTTGTATTCTCTGCAAGGAAAGGATTCCAAACGTGTTGTACGGCGTGTACAGTAAACACGGGGAATGGCTTCAAGAGTTGTATAATCTCCTGCAGATGTAGATGCCACTGTATCTTCAAGTTCTGCAGATGTAGATGCCACTGGTTCTTCAAATTCTGCAGATGTAGATGCCACTGGTTCTTTAGGTTCTGCACATGTAGATGCCACTGTATCTTCAGGTTCTGCAGATGTAGATGCCACTGGTCTTCAGGTTCTGCAGATGTAGATGCCACTGCGTCTTCATGTTCTGCAGACCACTGGTTCTTCATGTTCTGCAGATGTAGATGCCACTGGTCTTCATGTTCTGCAGATGTAGATGCCACTGGTTCTTCACGTTCTGCAGACCACTGGTTCTTCATGTTCTGCAGATGTAGATGCCACTGGTCTTCATGTTCTGCAGATGTAGATGCCACTGGTTCTTCCGGTTCTGCAGATGTAGATGCCACTGGTCTTCATGTTCTGCAGAAGTAGATGCCACTGGGTTTTCATGTTCTGCAGATGTAGATGCCACTGGTTATTCAAATTCTGCAGATGTAGATGCCACTGATTCTTCAGGTTCTGCAGATGTAGATGCCACGGATTCTTCACGTTCTGCAGATTTAGATGCCACGAGTTCTTCGGGTTCTGTATATGAAGATGCCACTGGTTTTTCACGTTCTTCAGATGTACGATTCTCGTTAAAAAAGGCAGATGGACATAGTGACAGGTTTGTACGTATCTCTGAATGTTCGTAAGTAGAGCAGTCCTTATACTACTGTAGAGGTGTAATTGCGCATGTCTACGAATGTTGAGGTGTGATTATGCATGGCCACGGATGGCCAACAAACACAAGGGGCGGGGTTACGGCCGTACACAAGGGTGGCGCTCGCACCGACGTCCGCATGTGTATCCCCCACGGGCCCCCCCCTTGGGGGCAAGTCCTATAAAAGGTGATGAGCCGAAAGGCTCGGGAGTCGGGACTCAGCTATAACCAGAGAAGACGGAAGACCAGCTAGTGTAGGCCCCAGAGCTCCCCTGGCTCGCTGTCCTTATAAGGGCCGACCAGGGCAAGCCGGTGGCGTGGCCCCGAGAGCCCAGACGAAGCTGGTCTGGTGACTCAGGGAGCCGGGATCCCAGCTTAACCAAGCTGGGACAGATAGCCTCCCCTAGTCCCGTAGTGGAGGAATTGGTATAGGTTAGAGGGGTTAGCTGTCGAGAAATCCCTGTAGCCCAGTGACCTGTAAATAACTGTGTTGGTGTAATAAATAAGTGTGCCTCCGATCCTGTCGTCAAGCCTCCATATACTTACTACATCTGGTGTCAGAAGTAAAACGTCCAAACGATGGACACACGAGGGACGACACGTACCAAGGAGTCGGAGATGGAAGACGCCGCGGCCGATTCAACACCAGAGATGGCCGGGGTCGGATCGGAGCAGCCGGGGCCAAGTACGCCCGTGCCGCTACGACAAGAGGGGGGGGATGCGTCGGCTGAAGGACTCCGGCTGGCCCACTCCCGCCTGGCGGAACTGCTCTACGCCGCCGCCGCTGCGTTGGAGGAGATCACGCGGCTGGGGGCTGGAGGGGCAGCGCGGGTCGACGACAGCAGCCGGCGCGCGGCAACGTTTCCCGCCACCCCGACGCGGCTGGCGGTTAAATTTCCCGCCATCTCTACAGTGCGAGCGGACGGCGGGGCCGGCCCGCGTCACGTGACTGCTGAGCGCCAAGCACAAGCCGTGACATCATCAACACCGGCCGGCGCGTCAACATCGGAGCGACCGGCGATGCCATGTGCACAGCCCGCCCACACTGTATCATCGGCGGGGAGCGACGGAGAGCGATCTACAGCCACGGACGTCGCCTTGCAGCAGCGTCTGCCACCTCTGAAAGAATTCGTAGGCGCAGACGGAGACTGGGGCGGCTTCAAGAGACGGTTCATCGCTCATCAGGAGATGGCGAACTGGACGGACGCCGAGGCTCTACGCGCGCTGCCAGCGATGCTGGACAACGACGCCCTGGCTACCCTCACCTCGGCGCCGAGGGAAAAGCGCGCCACCCTACACCTGGCGTTGCAGCTGCTGTCAGCCGTCTATGGGCCGCCTTCGGACTGCAGGCAGCTTTTCCACGATCGGCGTCGGGGCACCAACGAATCACCTCTGGCCTTCCGGACTGCTCTCCTGGCTCTAGCGAAGGCTGCTTTCCCAAGGATGGACGAGGAAGGAGTGGATGCCATGGTGGCTGAGAAGCTGCTGCTACTCGCTGATGAGCTGGACGTCAACGTCCTGGCTCAAGACGACTCAGAGATGTCGTCCCTGCTGGTCGCGCGCCACATCCACGGGGGCTTGCGGTCCCTTCGTCGAAAGGCGGCAAAGGGGGCGGCCAGCCATGCCATGGCGGCTACCGCCCTCCCATCGGAGGAGGTCTGCGGGGTGGAGCGGCGAGGGGAATGGAGAGCGGCAGTACCACAGGCTCGGAATGGACCGAGCCGCCAGGAGCAGCCCAGGACATCGGGGGCGCTCACACGCTGCTACAACTGTGGCCTGCAAGGCCACGTTGCGTCAGGATGCCGGGCTCCCCGTCAGCGCGGGGCGACACCTCGCCAGGACGCCACGCCGTCTCCTCCCAAGCTCCAGCAGAGAAATACGGCGAGTCGCGGCACCTCACACGTTTGGCCCACGCACACATCCGACACACACTCACGCGCCCAACTAAACAAGGCTCCAAATTCCCCATCCGTCGCGCGCGATCGTTCGGTAATGCGGCGGGCGCTCCAACCGGGTCAGTGGTCGGAGCTCGCCCATCGTGTCGTTGCTGCGTCGGCGGGATCTTCGGTCGTGGTCGGTCACATTGATGGGGTAGAGGTGCGGATTTTAATTGACACAGGGGCATCGGCGACCATTATATCTGATTTAATTTATAACATCCTTCCCGTTCAAAGTCGTCCCTTGCTCCCTGTTGACGTGCCGTGCTATGCCGCTAACGGGGGCTCTCTGGGCATTATTGGCCAAATCCGCGCCACTATCTGCATTGGGGACATTAAATTATCCGGGCCTGTTTTGGTTTCCTCCTCACTCGCGGTTCCGTGCCTGTTGGGGACGGATTTTCTGGCCAAAATGCCCATCCGCATCCTTATTGACCAAGGGTGCATTGAGCTCCCATCGGGCCGACGCGTTACATTTCTGTCTTCCCCCACCACGGAGCGTCGGGCGTTTGCCACCGTGCAGGCGCTCGTCACAAAAACTGTGCGCGTGCCTCCGGGGGCTCAGATGCTCGTCCCTCTTAGATTGCGTCGGCCGTTTAATGAAGGGGTTGCGGATCGGGGGGTCTTGTTGGGACCATCTCGGGCCGGGGTAAATGGACCAGATTTGCTCGCGGCTCAGACCATGGTGAGGGGGGATGGGGACCCCTTCATTGCAGTCCTTAATGTGGGATCGCGAACGGCCGTGGTTCCTCAAGGGACCGTGCTTGCACACGCAACGCCGGTACCCTATGAGGAACCACTCGTGGGTCAGGTATCCACCGATCCTCCGTCGCGACCGCATTCGGACTGTGATGACGGTTGGCTGGATGCGCTTTGCGCGGGTTCAGTGGACCTGTCCGACTCGCAGCGCGCGCAGCTGCGAGTTCTTCTGAGCGAATTTGCTGACGTTTTTAGTCAACACAAATTTGATATTGGTTGTACTAAATTGCTGCGACACCATATTGACACGGGTGACAGCGCGCCAATCCGCCAAAATCCCTTTCGGTTGAGTCCCGCCGAAAAGGATCATGTCAAATCGGCTGTTGATGACATGCTAGCCGCCGATATCATTTCCCCTTCCAATAGCCCGTGGGGCGCGCCGATCGTTTTGGTGAAAAAACACGACGGATCACTGCGGTTTTGTGTCGACTTTCGGCGTCTGAACAAAATCTCTGTGGCAGATGCGTACCCGCTTCCTCGAATGGATGAGTCGCTCGATGCCTTGGCGGGGGCGCGATTCTTTTCCACCCTCGATTTGCTATCTGGATTCTGGCAGCTTCCTCTGGATGACGAATCAAAACCTAAGACTGCTTTTCGGACACCGCAGGGTCTCTTCCAATTTAACCGCTTGCCGATGGGTTTACATTCTGCGCCGGCAACTTTTCAGCGGTTAATGGAATTGGTCTTGGCAGGGTTGCAATGGGATTCGTGTTTGATTTACTTAGACGATGTCATCGTCTTTAGCAAATCCTTCGAGGAACACCTCCAGAGGTTGCGTGCTGTTTTTCTCAAAATGCGGGCTGCCAATTTGAAATTTAAACCACAGAAGTGCCATTTACTCCGCGAATCGGTGCGATATTTGGGTCACATTGTTGGGCGCTCGGGGATATCCACTGATCCCGCCAAAACGGAATGCGTCAGCTCCTGGCCGACTCCCACCTCTGTGGGAGAGGTCAGGAGTTTCATTGGGTTCGCGTCGTATTATCGGCGATTTGTGGCTGACTTCGCTACGATTGCGAAACCTTTGCATGCCTTGACGTCCAAGGGAGTCAGGTTTCATTGGGGGCCGGAGGAGGAGGCTTCTTTTCGCGCCCTCCGGAATGCTTTGGTGGGGGCGCCGCCGTTGAATTACCCGGATTTTTCACAACCCTTCTTGCTCGATACAGATGCAAGTAACACGGGCATCGGGGGCGTGCTGTCCCAGCTCATTGGGGGCGTAGAGCATGTGGTGGCTTACGGTAGTCGGGTACTGTCTCCAGCCGAACAGCGGTACTGCGTTACCCGTCGGGAATTATTGGCGATTGTTTATTTCATTCAGCAGTACCGCCCGTATCTGTACGGTCGGCGGTTCACCGTCCGTACAGATCATGCGGCCCTACAATACGCCCTGCGGGTTCAACAACCATCGGGCCAGTTGTCTCGATGGTTGGAGATTCTCCAAGACTATGACTTTGTCACCACATATCGTAAGGGTCTCCGCCACACGAACGCTGACGCCCTGTCGCGATTGCCACCCACTTCGGAGTGCGCGTGCCTCTTGGGTTCGGGGCGTTGTAGGTCTCCGAACGTCACCACCGATTCGGTCCTCGTGGCCGCTGCCGATGCACCTTCGGTTTCGGGTCCTATCGAGCAAGAAGGGAGGGATTCGTTGCTGGGGTTGTCAGTCGCGGAATGGGGTCGCCTCCAAATGGAGGACACCTCCCTCCTCGCTCTGCGCCGTCGCGCCGGGGGGATTGGCCAGGGGGTGGAAAACGTTGACTCGTGGGGGTTGTTCCAGGGACTTTTGATGCACTGGAATGGTAAAACCCGGCGCCAGCGGCTCGTGGTGCCTGCTGCTTTAAGGGGTAAGGTGGTATGGGCTGTTCATGAGCGGCTTCTGCACTTGGGGGTTCATAAGACCTTTGCCACGCTCCAGCTAGATTTCTTCTGGCCGGGCATGGAAAAGGACGTGGGGGACCTCTTGGGGTCGTGCACGCAATGCGCGCAGAGGAAGCCACCTGCTAGGGGATCCAACCCTCCGCTGCAGTCCATAAAAGTTTCCAGGGTTAACGAGCTCGTCGCTCTGGACATACTTGGCCCATTTCCCGCTACACCCAGGGGCAATAGGTATTTACTAACGGGGGTTGAATACTTCACGAGATGGCCTATGGCCTGGCCCCTGGCGAACCAATCGGCAGCAGCCATCGCGGAGGCCTTTGTCCAGGGCTATGTCCTCGACAAGGGTGCTCCGGAACGGCTGCTTACTGACCAGGGTAGGAATTTTTCTGGTAAACTCCTACGTGAGGTGTGCGACCTCTTGGGTACGGAGAAGGTTCGGACCTCTCCGTATCACCCACAAACTGACGGGATGGTGGAACGGCTGCATCGGACCATCACGTCCATGCTGTCCCAGCAGGTGTCGGTATCCCAGACGGATTGGGACCTCCGCATAGCCGGTGTGTTGCAGGCCTACAGAATGGCTCCCCATGCGGCCACCGGATTTTCCCCTTTCTTTTTAATGTATGGGCGCGAAGTTAACCCTCCTGTGGCGACCCAGCTGAAGCTCTCGGCGCTCCAGGCGAAGTCTAAGTTGTCCGAACACGTTAAATTTAACATCGCTCAATTGTCTGAGGCGCGGGAAGCGGCCGTGCAAAATTCTGAACTCCGCCAGAAGGCGAACGAGAGGCTTCGGTTGGGGCGGGTGCAGGTGGTCAAATGGGTACCAGGGGACAGGGCGTGGTTGCACTGTCCTCAGGTGCCGCTGGCAACCTCGTCGAAATTGGTACGGCCGTGGCGGGGGCCAGTGGAGGTCGTGCAGGTTTTGCGGCCGCAATGTGTTCGCGTCAAATGGGGGAGGCGCCGGTGGTATGTGCACCCCTCAAGGTTAAAACCATTCGTCACGCCGCCCCGGGGTTCACACACACACACGCATGGCCAAACGTGTGAGGGTGTCGCCGACTCCCCGTCGTCGCTGCACTCGCCTAACCTGACGCCAACTGTTCCGCCCCCAGGTGAAACAGGAGTGACGGGCCCACGCCCACCAACCCCTCCCGGAGGGGTCGGGGGTCACTCGGCAGCGGAGCCTGACCCTCTTGCACCCGGACCGTCAACGACCGTCACTGAGCGTGCCGGGACGGACCCTTGTGACGGACCCGCCGCGAGAACGCGCGCCAAAACGCGCAGACTTTTGTGAGGTCGGCCGTTGGGGGGCCTTGCGGACAAAAGGGGAGGGGTGTTGTGAGGTCGGCCGTTGGGGGGCCTTGCGGACGATGGGAAAGGTGACGCCCGGAGTGTATATATATGTTGGTTTTGGGGTGTTATCCGGGGGGGGTGCGTCGGGTTATTTTTTTTTCTCTCTCTCTCTCTTCCTCTCGTTGTTCTTGTTCTTGTTAAAAATTACGCGAGGCACACACGGGGTTTTTGTGAGGGATGCACCTTTATTCTGATTTTTTTTTGCAGCCGGGGACGGCTGCGAGCTGTACAGGGGGGGGTGATGTAGAGGTGTAATTGCGCATGTCTACGAATGTTGAGGTGTGATTATGCATGGCCACGGATGGCCAACAAACACAAGGGGCGGGGTTACGGCCGTACACAAGGGTGGCGCTCGCACCGACGTCCGCATGTGTATCCCCCACGGGCCCCCCCCTTGGGGGCAAGTCCTATAAAAGGTGATGAGCCGAAAGGCTCGGGAGTCGGGACTCAGCTATAACCAGAGAAGACGGAAGACCAGCTAGTGTAGGCCCCAGAGCTCCCCTGGCTCGCTGTCCTTATAAGGGCCGACCAGGGCAAGCCGGTGGCGTGGCCCCGAGAGCCCAGACGAAGCTGGTCTGGTGACTCAGGGAGCCGGGATCCCAGCTTAACCAAGCTGGGACAGATAGCCTCCCCTAGTCCCGTAGTGGAGGAATTGGTATAGGTTAGAGGGGTTAGTTGTCGAGAAATCCCTGTAGCCCAGTGACCTGTAAATAACTGTGTTGGTGTAATAAATAAGTGTGCCTCCGATCCTGTCGTCAAGCCTCCATATACTTACTACACTACTATACACTACTACACACCATAAATACCATACAATATACTACACTACTATACACTACAGGTGAAGGTCTTTCCGACAGACCTGTTCTTCACCTGAGGACAGCTGCTTGCTTTGTGGCCGAAACGTCGTGAGAATTATTTTATTATGTTTTATTTTTATTATTTTATTATTTCCCTTCTACGTGACTTTACCGAAAGAACCAGGAAGAACTATACACTACTACACACTACTATACCATACCATATACTACACTACTATACACTACACTACTATTTACTCTTATATACTATACTACTGTATTTGAAGATGCCAGTGATTTTTCATGTTCTGCAGATGTACGACTCTCGTTAAAAAAAGGCAGATGGACATAGTGACAGATTTGTACGTATCTGTTTGTGCTCGTAAGTAGAGTACTTATACTACTACACACTACTATACCATACACTATATTACACTACTATACACTACACTACTATACAGTACACTACTATACACAACGCTATACGCTATACGTGACACTATACAATGCACTACTATATACTATTACACTGCACTTTTATATCCACGACACTTTATACTACACTACTATACACTACTACACACTACACTGCTACACACTACACTACTATACACTACGACACACTACACTACTATACACTGCTACACACTACACTACTATACACTACTACACACTACACTACTATACACGACACTATACACTATACGAGACACTATGCAATGCACTACTATATACATTATATACTAGACTACTTTAAACTATTACACTGCACTTTTATATACACGACACTTTATACTACACTACTATACACTACACTACTATACACTACACTACTATACACGACACTATACACTACGCGAATATACACTACATTACTGTATACGACACGATACACTGCACTACTATACACAGTGCTATACGCTACAATACAGCATTAAACAAAACATAGCTGCACTCACACACGTGTACACACACACGTTCACACACACATGTGTAATAATCCTTTTGAGACGGCTTCGGAATCGGTCCTCTTTATTTTCACTTCCACAATACACTTTACTCACACACTCTCCGTTGCTGGCAGACAACAGAGAGCGGGCAGACTTCACACCAAGTCCCCACCGCGCACGTGGCACCCAGAGCCCCCGTACACGCGTGGCTCTCCCTCTGTTCGTTCCCCAGTCTGCTCACGATCGTTCTCTCTCACTCTCTCTTAATCCCTTCGTCACGTGGTCCCCCCAGCCAATCCTCCATGGACAGCCTTGACCATTCTCGATGGTTCCCTGTCAATCCCGGGACCACGCCTCTCATCCGGATCCCCATTAGCTGGGGCCCCGAATGGCTAGGCCAATCACTCCTGATGACATGCCGTGATCACGCCGGGGCCATGCTTCCTATCTCAACCCTTATTGGCTACAAAGTAGGACCGGCAAGCCAATCCCCACGTGAACCCTCTATGGCTGTTATTACACATGTACACACATACACGTGTAAACACGCGCACACACCTGAACACGCACGCGTGCTGTACTCACCTTTAGCTATTGCGGGCGTGAGCGAGACGCTCAAGATGGCGGCGATGAAGAGGACGGCTATCCTTTGTGACGTCATAGCTGACTCGGTGCTGGTGGGGAACCAATGAGATCGACGGCAGCTGCAACCTGCACGGCACCACACAAGGAAAAAGATTCCCCCTTGCAGCCTCTTAACAGACTGGAGGGGCGAGTGCTCACTGACTCATTCACAAATAACAATACCCGCCATTCGCCACTAAGTGACACACACAAACTCACCACACACAGACAAAGACACTCACCGCCCACCAGCATTCACCACTCACCAATACCAATTTTCGCCATTCGCCACTAAGTGACTTTGATGTCACCACGGCGCCTGTGCCAGGCCAGGCGCATTTTTAAGCCACGTAAAGTGTCAAAGTCTCACTGACAGGATGTCTCGGGACAGACCCAGGTGCCATGAGTTGGCTAGGATGATGAGTAGACGCACCAGCTGTACCCCTACTGTGCCAACTTCCTCCATTTTAGCTACCTGGCACTCCGCTCATTGTTGTGAGCGTTGCTCCTCTTCGCTCAGTTGTTGGTGGAGGGCGGGCGACTGCCTCCAACTGCCCAGTAGCGTCATTCACAAACCTCCTCCACAAATATTGACTTAAAGCTTTCGTGACTGCAGGAATTCATATTTTTTGGGTCATTCGGTAAAGTCACGTAGATAGATTCAAACAAAATAACAAAAAACAACAAACCAAAAACTACGACGTTTCGATCGCAACACAAGCGTCCATCATCAGGAAGAGAGAATTAGCTTCTTAAGGTAAACTGTTAATAAAGGTTTGAAATGGGCAGAGCCCAAATGTCAACCAGTCATAGCTTGCTGTGATGTTCCCATCCTACCACCTTCCGATGATAGTTGTAATTTTCGGCTCTCTGATTTTACATTAAACACGATACATTTCTCACCCTAACACAGCTGCCGAGCTCACCGAGCTCGAGGTTTTTGCCTTGCGATCTTCCATTAACAAGCTAATCTCTCACATTAACATAGCCACCTCAAGGCACTGCCGTTGAGACCTCTCAGCCATCTTACATTATCATGCTAATTTTTACTGGGCAGCCCTTTAATTGGTGGGAAATCCTACCAGCGTCGCGGTCGCTGCCCACCACTGACATTTCCATTGGCTGCTGACATTTGGGCTACGCCCATTTCAAACCTTTATGAACAGTTTATCTTTAGAAGCGAACCCTCTCTTCCTGATGATGAACGCTTGTGTTGCTATTGAAACGTCGTTGTTTTTGTTGTTATTTTCTTTGAATCTATCTACGTGACTTTACCGAAAGACCCAAATAATGTCAACTCATCCACAAAGGCCGATCTTGACAGAACAACTCAGAGCCCAGGCCTACTCATGGTATCATAGGCCTTGGCCATTTCAATAAAGCACCTCTGCATCTCCTATGCTGTAGCAGAAGGATGGAAAAATGGCATCTGTGCAGGACCGCCCTGGCCTGAAACCACAGCGGGGCTCCACAAGCCTCTTCTGAGTGTGCCTGGCAAGGTGATGTTGAATAATCCATGCCAGGACCTTTCTCGTCAAACCGAGGAGGGAGATCCCCATGTAGTTGTTACATTTTGTACGGTCCCTTTTCTTAAAAAGGGGGACCACCAGGGCATCTTTCCAATTCTGCGGAACCCATCCAGTGGTCCAGACTGTAATTATAATGTCATGTAAGGCAGTCTACGCACAATCGCCACCCTCCTTCAGCATTTTGCTTGGAAGATCATGGCTGCCCAGCGTTTTTCCTGGTCTATGACTCTGGATCACCTTCCATACTTCCTCAACAGATGGTACTTCAGCCAACCACTCACGGGGGTCACTACCACTTCCAATATTGAGGCACTGCAGCCTCAGCAGGGTCATCCCCACTTTGCCCCACGTTGTTTTCCAGGCTGAGGTATTTCGCCTCCCCCAGGACCTCACATAAATGCTCAGCAAATCTGCAAACCTGTTCCTGGGGGTCGAAGTTTGGATCACCGTTCTTTCCCCGAATGATGGTGATTGATAGGTGTGGTGCTGAAAGTAACTTTTTTATTAAGTTAAATAGTGATTTATAATCGCAGCCTACTGAGGAAGATTCCATCTCCTCCACAACCAGTGACCACCACCCATCCTTGTAGACGGTGGGAGTGGACCTGACAATTTTTCTGATTCATACCAAGGTCTAAGAGCTTTGTACCGTATACCCAACGCAGCCATTACAACTGCATGAGCCACGGTCCAAAACCTTGCCCATTTCCCCTCGGCCCCAGCTGCAAGTAATAATTAAATTCTCGCTTGCAACTTTTATCAGGCCACTGTGAGTTTAAAAGCGGTCCTAGATGTACACTCACCACCGGAGTGGAAGAATGGCAGGCGCGCCTTATAGATGACAAGCCGATGATCATTGGGAAAATCAGCTCTACGGTAGATCCTGTTGTCAAGGACTATATTGTCCAGCAGATGTTTTTGCTTGGACCCGGCGTAGATGCGCCGATACCGGAACAGCAAGAGACACACAAACATCTACGCACAATGGCACACTCACCATTCACACACACATTTACCACACACAGACTGACAGACACACATTTACCACTGACCTGCTCTTTCACCACTCACCACACATACAGAGACAAGGCTCCATTCGTATAGCCTCAAATAGACTCTAGGGGCAAGTGATGTTAGTAGTAGCGAGTAGCAGTAGCAGCAGTGCCTATGAAGGCTACCTCAAATAGACTCTAGGGGCAAGTGATGTTAGTAGTAACGAGCAGTAGCAGCAGTGCCTATGAAGGGTACCTAAAATAGACTCTTGGGGCAAGTGATGTTAGTAGTAGCGAGCAGTAGCAGCAGTGCCTATGAAGGCTACCTCAAATAGACTCTAGGGGCAAGTGATGTTAGTAGTAGCGAGCAGTAGCAGCAGTGCCTATGAAGGCTACCAGCACTGTGGCACAGAGAGGGTGGGTGGCCAGCACCACTCTCGGCCGCCTTTGTCACCGCGGCACCAGGTACTCATTTTGAGGCCGAGCCGACCTAGGGAAGGCCCAGCACCGGTTCAGATAATCGCCACCACTGCTGTTGGTGGCTGTGAGCGGGAATCGAAATCGGGTCTCTTTACATTGCCCCATAGACTTTCTATGGGAACCGGTTTCACTGTGTGGATATTTATAGCAGCAATCAAATACTCTAAACGTGTAGACACAGATACCCACAGAGCTACAAACGTACACATAGAGAGACACATAGATATGCATAGAGACACATGCTCATATAGACCCACTGAGACCCATACTCATGAAGACCCATAGAGATCCAGATACTTGTTTGGAACCACACACACCCAGAGACACCTATAGGCTAAAACTAATCAATGTTTATGTTACTCAGAGAAGAAAATCCACGCAGTGGCTAACACAGGGGGAGCGATAAACTCTGACTCCAAATATACAGCAGCAGCAGGCATCGTCAGGGTCAGGATCGAACACACGAACTCCCGTAGACCAGGCGAGGTAGTTAACATCTCCTAGCCCACCTTGGAATTATGGTTGGGATCGATCCCACGACCTCCCGTAGAATAGGCGAGGTAGTTAAAACATCCTAGCCACTGTGGCGTTGGAGTCGGGATCGAACCCACGACCTCCTGCGTACCAGGCGAGGTAGTTAACATCTCCGTTGCTACCGTGGCGTTAAGGTCGGGATCGAACCCACGACCTCCTGCGTACCAGGCGAGGTAGTTAACATCTCCCTAGCCACGGTGGGGTTAGGGGCTATATCCCTTGCCCCCCTCTCTCCCCTCTCTCTCTCGCACACACCCCCCTCTCTCAGAGTCTCACCTCTCTCTCTTCACGATCTCCGCTCTATCTCTCGCAGGGCTGCTTTTATACCCAGACAGGGACCGCCTCTGGCGCCGCGTCACGGATTTCAAAAATCCACTCCCTGCAGCGGCATGCAGCTCATACAGCTGTAGCTGCAGAATCGTGACGCTGCTGCTGAGATATTCTCAGCTAGCAGTGACTCAGCCGCATTCTGACATTCAGCTGCAAGCAATCCGGTCTCAGCTGAGTCGTGTGTACACCTGTCTGTGTATCTGTCTGTGTACCTGTGTGTGTGTTTACCTGTGTGTGTACCTGTGTGTGTACCTGTATATCTGTGTGTACACATGTGTGTGCACCTGTATGTGTACCTGTGTATCTGTGTATACACATGTGTGTACACCTGTGTGTGTGTACCTGTGTATGTGTTTACCTGTGTGTGTATCTGTGTGTGTACCTGTGTGTGTGCACACCTGTGTGTGTGTGTTTACTTGTGTGTGTGTGTTTACCTGTGTGTGTGTACCTGTGTGTGTACCTGTGTGTGTACACCTGTGTGTGTGTGTACCTGTGTGTATCTGTGTATGTGTACATGTATGTGTGCCTGTGTGGGTGTAACTTTGTGTATGTGTAGAGGTGATACGCGCTGGGATTAGGGATCGTATGCCAGCGCATAATGATTGGCTGTGGGCCGGTGACGCGCTGAGAGGGAGTGATCAGGGGGCAGAGCAGTGTGATTGGTGGAGAATGTTAACACGCGCTGGGGAAAACGGATCGTAGAGAGAGTGCGTCGTGATTGGTCATTAAGGAACGACGCTCACGTCGACGTCCGCATCAGCTCCGTCTCTCGTGAGCAGGGGCTATAAAAGGGGATGCACACAGGCGTAAGGGCAGTGTGTAACCAGCGAAGAATGAAGACGGGGATGAAGACCTAGAGCCCTGCGGTACCTAGCCCCGCCGTCCTAAGGGGACCGGGACTCTGTGTAACCCAGAGGCGAGTGTAGTGTGTGTAGCCATAGGTCTACACGAGCCGAATGCATTGTGTGTAGCCAGGGCATAGGGTCTATACGAGTCGAGTGTATTGTGTAGCCAGAGGCATAGGGCTTACACGAGTCGAGTGTATTGTGTAGCCAGAGGCATAGGGCTTACACGAGTCGAGTATATTGTGTGTAGCCAGAGGCATAGGGTCTACACGAGTGAAGTGTATCGGGTGTAGCCAGAGGCCTAGAGTTACACGAGATTAGTGGAGTGTGTCGTCGGAAGAAGGAAGACCACACGTTGTATTGTGACACGTAA